GGACTCCAGTAGTCTCCAAAACAGTGGAGGGATCAACTAAGAAGAAGAAGAAGGTTGACATGTAATATAATATTTTTGTGGTTGATTTTAAATTTGCGGGTACGATGGTTTTCTTCATTTTTGTTGAAATTTTACATTAATTTTACTTTGTTCATTTTGTGATGACTTAATCTTTAACCTTTCCACAACGGGCGCTCAACCTGAGTTCAATACAACAATCTTGACTCACGTCAGCTTTTTAACTATGCTCAAATTTTCCTTTCATTGATCAATAGTATACAAGATTTCAGTTTCTTTCAGCTAAAATCAACAAGTAATACTTCCTGTTGTGCGAGTAACAAATTTACAAGGCTATTGTCAGGGATGGCGGAGCGACTTCCAAAGTGTGGGGGGGGGGGGGAGAGACCAACAAAACGGGCACTTTCTGGGAATTTGTAGGGCACCTACAAAGGGAAATCTCAAACCGAAAATATTCAATTTCTTTAGACATTGGTATATACCCCTACATTGTGATTACATTATAAGGGAAGATTTCAATATTTGTTTATCTTTATACACCATACAAGAATGAAAAGGGGCACGTGTCAAAATAAAAGGGGCACTTATCAGAGGTGAAAAGGGGAAGGGGCCCTTTTACAAATTATTAGGGGCACTGGTCATAGTAAAAGGGGCACTTTTCTTATGTTAAAAGGGGCACTTTGGGGGTACTTGATAAAGTGGGAGGGGGAGTGCTGTTGTCAATTACTCCCACAATAGAACAGAAAGCCATTTTGCTGTAGAGCAGTGTTTTTCAACCATCTTTTGTTATAGTCACGGCACCCTTTCATGAAATAAAAAGTTTTGCATTACCCCAATCCAAAGTTTATCACAGAAGATACCTTTTGCATCACTCTGTCACTCGTAAATACACCTACAGGCATCTTTGTTTCTTTAAAAAAAGAAAAAGTATTAAAAACGGTAGAAGTGTAATCAAAACGCACTAGATACATGTTAGAAACAAAATGATGTTTGCGGGCATGCTACTGCCAAATATATGAATACAAAATTCATATATTCAATCAACTTGATTCATGAATACGAGAATATTCGGGCATCTTGTTGCTCAGAAATATTCCGTTTCTAAATGTGACTGAGTGAAATGAACGAGGGTGGTATAGTGGTAATTCCAATGTAAAATATATAAGATATATTTGGGTACCTTGCTACACAAATAGGACGATATTCTGGCACCTCGCCGTTGAATAAAACAATATTCGGGCACCTCCAAATATGAAGGCAAGGAAGAAAGACCCCTCATGAAGTCCCATAGAGGTTTTTAATACTGTTTTCACCAAATTGATGTTAGAATAAAATGTTTAATGTAACTAAATTTCCATTAAGTCTCCCCTAGAGATGTATTGCGGCAACCCATCACCCCGGTTGAAAAATGTTAATGTAGGGTATGAACATGAAAAGTGATTTGTAAAAATTCACTATACGCCTAGGGCTCTAAATTTGACAAATATACAATCAACATCCAAATTTAAATCCAAATGCAAATTTATTGGATTCTGTTCACAAAAAAATAATAGTTATATAATATATACATGCATGTACAACTAACATAAATCTACAGAAGAAAAAAATGAAACTAATGACACAACAAAAGACCGGAAGGTTTTTTTTATGGCTTTGCCTCATTTTCTTCCAGTGGTGTATTGAATTACCTCGTCTGGTAAATGTAAAAATATAGTTCAGGGCCATTGTTGTATTACAACTTGCCTATCTTAATAACATCTTAAATATTATACAATTATACACTGTCTTGAGAGGTTCTGGTTAAAACTATGCACAAGAGGCGACTCCAATAGTACTATTTGCTGAGGGGCGCAGCCCCGAAGCAAATGGTACTTCTGGAGTCACCGAGGCCCATAGTTTTAACCAGTACCTCGAAAAGAGGCATGGTATATTTGTTTTATATCCTGCATCAAAAATTTATTTTATAAAAAAAAAAAAAAAAAAAAAAAAATATATATATATATATTTTTGTTTTTATTAAATTAAGATTTTTTTTTTTTAAATCAATTCCGAAAAAAAAAAATCACATTTTTTTTTTCAACTCCCAAATAGTAAACCCAAATAGTACTCTCATATAGTACTTTCTAAAAATAGCTCAAATATTTCTGGTCATGTGACGAGCTCTCAACCAATCAAAAGCCAACAAATTTTTGATGCAGGATATAATGTCTTATATACATAAATACATGTAATCCATAATTTCCAAGTTCTCAACCAATCAAAAAGCCAACAAATTTTTGATGCAGGATATAATGTCTTATATACATAAATACATGTAATCCATAATTTCCAAGTTATTTTATGTCCCATATTTTTTAGTATTGTGGAGATACATAACCTGAAACCATATTTGCCATATCACTTCATTTTGGTCTGTTCTAATTTCAAGCACAAAAGCTTGGATTTGTCTATTACAGGATTTTTTTTTTTAAACCCACTAACTATTGCAAAAATGTGATACTATTGGTCAATATGCCAGTCCTTATGGTGTGTCACTTTTATTTCAGTCGGAGTTGCAAAAAATACTTGATTTAACAAATAAATAAGGGGAAAATTGTCTTTCAAATTGCCATACTTAGAAATGTAAATTATTTTGATTTCAAACAAAATGAAAAATTACATGAAATGAAACGGATCTCACGACGCCTTGAGCGACGTTGGGTTGCTTCTAAATTAGAAGTTGACAGACAAATTTTCAAAAACCAATGTTATGAATATAATCGCATGATCAAACAATCTAAACAAAACCATCATTCAAAACAATTTGAAGGCTGTAATTCAAAGCAGCTATTTCAAAAAGTCAACAAATTGTGCACACCAAAAGTATCCAAGGTGTTACCTTCTGACGATTCTGATCTTTCACTTGCTGAACGTTTTTCTGACTTTTTTACAGACAAAATTCGGAGTATCAAAAATGTTCTTAAGGATTCATCAAAAACGGATGTTTCCATATCCATGCTTGATTCATGCAATTCTTCATTTCCTGAATTTTCACCAGTATCAGAGGATACTGTCAGAGTTATAATAATGAAATCTCCATCAACTTCATGTAGTCTCGATCCAATGCCGACATGGCTGCTTAAAAACTGTTTAGATGAGCTTTTACCAGTCATTACCAAAATTATAAACATGTCCATTCAAAGTGGTCAATTTCCCGATGTTTTGAAATCGGCACAAATCACCCCTCTTTTGAAGAAACCAAATTTGGATTGTGAAATTTTGAAAAACTATCGGCCTGTTGCCAACCTTAAGTTTCTTGCTAAAACAATTGAACGTGCTTGTGCTTCTCAAATTCAGGGCTATCTATCATCAAACAATCTGTGTAGTAAAATGCAATCTGCTTATAGATCTTCTCATAGTGTTAAAACAGCTCTTTTATGTGTATATAATGATTTGTTGTTAGCTGTGGACCAAGGTGATGAAGCTGTTTTAATACTTTTAGACTATTCTGCGGCTTTTGATACTATCAGTCATGATGTTTTTCTTGATCGCTTACGTAATAGATATGGTGTATCAGGTACTGCCTTGAATTGGTTTAAAACATACTTTATGAATCGTTCACAATCTATTGTCATTAATGACTCATTATCCAAACCTCATGTTCCACTTGAAGGTGTTCCTCAAGGTTCCGTCATCGGACCTTTATCATTTACTCTGTACACTGCACCACTTGAAGATATTATTGAAGCGCATGGTTTGGGCCGAATGATATATGCAGATGACACCCAAGTTTATGTTGTTTTGAAACGTGATTCTAACCATTCTGTTATTACTAAACTTGAAAGATGTATAAATGATATCAAAGCTTGGTCCACTGCTAATGATTTGAAGTTAAATGAGGATAAAACTGAGGTTATACATGTAGCATCTCGATTCGGAAAGTCCTCTCATTTACCATCTGTCGAAATTGCTAATGTTCCGATACAACCTGTCAAAAGTGCACGTAACCTTGGTGTCATCTTTGAAAATGATCTTAGGATGGATGATTATATAAAAAATATTTGTCGCTCAGCTTCATATGCCTTGTACAAGATAGGTCGTATTAGAAATTTTCTTGATCAAAAATCTACCGAAACGCTTATACATGCATTTATTACATGCCGTCTTGATCAATGCAATAGCCTTCTTTATGGCCTTCCGGACTCGCACATTGCAAGACTCCAGAGAATCCAAAACTCTGCTGCCAGGCTTGTAACACGCATGCGTTCTTGTGAACACATCACCCCAGTACTTCGCGAATTGCATTGGTTGCCGGTGAGGTACCGCATTATGTACAAAATCTTAGTTTTAACTTATAAATGCATTCATGAAACGGCACCAATTTATCTGCAAGAATTAATCGAGGAATACAAACCCTCCCGCAGTTTACGGTCATCTTCACAATTAAACCTCGTATCTACTTCTGTGTCAACTCTTTCTTATGGTAATCGCTCCTTTCGCAAAGCTTCTGCTGAACTTTGGAACAGATTACCTTTAAATGTAAAAAACTGTCAAACTGTTAACCTATTCAAAACTAGTCTCAAGACACATTTATTCAAAATTGCGTTTGATGATTAATTACTCTGTTCACTTTGACGTGTATTCCATATGTATTGTAATTTGTATGTCTATTTGCATTTTTAGTTTTGTATAAGATGTAATTGTATATCAGTCTATTTTGTGTGTATAGCGCTTAGAGACTTCGGTGGTAAGCGCTTTATAAGTAACGTTTTTATTATTATTATTATTTATGTGCAAAAAGAAGGAAAGAAAACAAAAATGAGACAATTTTGAACCTCATGTTAATACATGTATCTCATACCTAACTGCTGGCTTTCTTTCAATGGTACATTACTCTACAGTTATTGCAAAACATCCTCATGACCTCAGCTATGCAAACAGGTTTTAATGATTAAAACTGCTTCACTGATAGCAAAAGGCCTAGGTTTACCGGTAAGCAAGTATTTCAACTGAATCATGTGCATGGAACTGATGGAACAACAACAAGAAGTCTTGCACTTACAAACAAAATACAGTGAAATTGATGTTGCAGCACAAAACTGTGCAAAAGTACGGGGAAAAAATCCACTTATAAGATATTTCAAAGAAAGTTTCCTTTAACACACAAGTCTATGAAAATGATTTAAATCACCAATTATTGTTTTGTACATCAGGGCGATTGAAATCATGATTTAAATTGTGTAAACCCTCGTGTTGGTGGTTCAGTCTTTGACCCATCTTCTGTTCTTGATAAACCTTTACACACACTTCCTTCAGTAGTCTCTTGATCAGCACCTACACAATGCCATCTCACATATGCATCATGTCAATGTTTCTTGATAACTCCGCTTCCATAGCCATCTAAAAATAAACAAATAAGTAAACCATTCTGTGATCAATTTCAATACAAGAGCAGTGATTGACAAAAAGAAATAACAGGACAAGCAGAGTGAATGTTTGTTCAACAATTAATTTAGAATTTATGCATCAAACATAAATATTGAAATTAACTACAGATGTGTAAAATGGCTAATATGTGTTATGTCCCATTTGATAAAAGAATGTACCGGTACATTTATCTTTGAACGCATACCGGTAAACTGATGTTTGATTTAATTCAAATAAAACAAGACATTTTTATACTTGTGAACAAGTATGAGGTGGTCTGTCTTAATGTGTAAAATTCTTTTATGGAAATTAAGATGATGACTAAGATAATGAATATAATGTCACTATGCCAAGTTTAGTACTCTGTACCAAGTTTCACATGATTAACAGTGTCATTTAGGAGATATAGACACACCATCAAAACAAGGTTTTGATGCTCTATTGGCGCAATGTTTCATGACATCATTCATATTCTTAGAGCTGATTATGACTATCAAGGACTACATAACTTTACCAAGTATCAACTTGATTGACACTGCCCTTTTGTGGATATAGACATAATGTCAAAACAACGTTTGGACACTTTGTTGCTCCAACATTGAGGCGATGTTCTTGATATTCGGAGAGCTGATTATGACTATTTTAGTACTATAACTGTACCAAGTTTCAAGTTGATTGTAAGACTGTAAATATTTGCGAGTGGTACGTACCAATTGCCTTTTAGCTTCTTCTATCTTCACCTTTGCTAATGGTACATTAGGAGGGAGATTCTGGTAGCTATCTAGTTTAGCTTTGAGTGGAGACAGCCTGGTATCAAGTGATTCTAATTCCTGAAAATAAGAACAAATTTATAAACAATTGCTTTGTTTTCTCTCCTTTCAGCAACATCATTTTTAATAATGATGATAATAATAATACTCTGGTTTCTTATACGGTTCCGGTAGTGCTAAATACATTGATGATGTATGATAGTGCTTTACAGATATATTATTAACTGCACACACAATGAGTGATTTCAAGTACGGTGTTCGGTGTTGGTGTTGGTGTTGAGAGCTTGGAAAGGCTGCTGAACCGAGCTCCAACACCGACGGTCAGTTTAGAAGAACGATACCGATCACGCGCGTGCGCGTGCGTGCGCGTTATCGATAGCTCAACACCAGCCTCAGCGCCGAGTGACGTCCTACTTTACAGGCGAAAAGTCTTGCGGTAAAAGCATAATCCATTCAGAAATTCCAATAAATAACACCATGTCGAATATCAAATGTAAAGTCATATTAAAAAATCAATAGATAAAATATAATTTCTCTTGAAATACATATGCAGCTCCCAGGATTTACTTCTGTTTTGACTTTAAAATGGATTTTTACCTTGGCATGATCGTGAGATTCGTGCCAGATATCCGCATAGTTACCTGCATAGTTACTGCAACACCAACACCAACACCGAACTTGAAATCATGAATTTCCCAATCCCTAGGGGCTGGTGTTGGTGAATGGAAAAATTACACGTAAATCGTCAACACCAACTGTAATACTCGGTTCAGCAGACGACATTCAACACCAGCCCTCAACACAGACTGCCGGAAATGCGTCATATTTCCAGAGGTCAATCCCAACACCAGCCTGATTTCAAGTTCGGTGTTGTGGCTGGTGTTGGTGTTCTCACAACACCAACACCAGCTTTCAACACCGAACTTGAAATCACTCAATGTAAGCACATTTTCCACTCCCTTTGAAAGCATTCCAGCCAGGCACTATTTTAAAGACTGTTCACAATGCTGAGCAAGCTCTAATGAAATTCAAAACGTTTTATAAATGCATATCATATCACTAATTTAGTAACTTCAGATTATAAGTGAGTCGAAACAATCATGACATTATTAATCCCTTTTTTCTTCAAAGTTTTACTGATCTATTTCTCTATGGTATAATTTTGCTTTAACTCAAAGCATATATTAGAGCAACGTAGCCTGACCCTATAAGTTATCAAATGAAGGAATTTTCCTGATTATCTAGCATGTCTTTGAAACATGAACAAATAATTTCTCTCCATGTTATTTATGACTTTGTCTTGAAGAGAAATAGAAAGAGAGGAAGTATTACCTGAGATAATGCAACCAGACTCTGATGGTACAGAGATGGTTCCACACCGGTTTCACGTAACTTAACCTGCAGAGAAATATACAAAGCACAATATTTATTTCCAGATGAACAGTACAGTTATATCAGCACAATGTTCATTACACTAGTAATTAAAAAACAGTGATTATTTGGAGGATTTCATACCTAGACCTTCAAGCTTATATCAGGTTGGGGATCTTACCTCAACATTAATATTAAGATTACAAATGCATTTCATAGAGAGTTAGTAGTTGATCTTTGACCAATCCTTTTACCCATATTCCAACTTAAATGTATGGAAAACCAAATAAACACAATAAGTGGTATGAGAATAGGTCTTTTCCTTCTAAAACATAGGCAAATAAAAATGATTTGAAGAAAAAATGTTATGTATGAAGAGGTACGATGAAAGAAGTAGACAAGATTAATTGTCAGAAATGTTCAAACATTCTGCTACAGTAATTAATGCTAGATACATGTTTGTTACCTCAAGGCTTTCAAGTTGGTTGTCATACTCTCTAGATTTACTATGATAGAACCCGGTCTGTCTCATCCTATCTTCAAGCTTAGGTCCTTCTTCCTTTGCTTGTTCCTCTAAAGATACCATTGCTCTGTAAACAATCAAAGAGGAATGAAAGCTTCAGTTCATAAGATGAAAAATTTAATTCAAGCATATTCTAATTCATGTACATCTATGTACATGTAACATCTAACGAACATTAACCAAGAAAAGAACAGAAATGTGGAATTTTAAAGCCCACAGGGAGTCATGGAAGGGCAATCCAACCTTTGTAATAAGTTCATTTGTACACTGTATAAAAGAAGAAAAATATGTATTTAGTAAATTTATTTACATTCAATTTTTCTCTCAATTTCTGTGTACATGTATATGATATCATTATTTATTACGACACATTGATGGAATGTGTTTTTGACCGTATAGAAAATACAAGAAGAATTACATATACATATAGTTAGTGATTTAATCTCCAAATTAAAAGGAAAAAAATGTTTCAGACTTTAAAAAACAGAATTCTCCAAATAAGTGCCCCAAATTAGGGATGTGCCTTTTTTTTAAAAATATATATGAGTTTGCCTTATCACATTATCATGCTAAATCATTTGAATGACAGAGCTTCAATGTCAATGAAAATACTCACTTCTTCAAAGACTCAGTTTTAATCATAGCTATCTTGGTCTTATTGAAGAGCTTCTGATTTGAGAGATTCTCTTCCTGCCGCTTGTCTTCCAAAGCTACCAACTCCCTCGTTAAATTCATCATTGCCAGATAATAACTGAGGAAGAAAAATTATACACTCTTATTATAGCAGTTTATGGATAAGGCCAAAAAAAAAAATTGTTTGGTTGTCCTCGATTGCTATTCTGGAGTAGGGTTTGATTTTTTTTTTCTTCTTTTTTTTCCCCCATTTTTTAAAATATTTTTTAATAATTTTTGTTCCATTAAAAAAAAAAAATCATTGGGATTGTCAAGCATTTAAACAAACAAAGTCTATAAAACACTTTAATATGGTAAAAGACTAGTTTAATGTACAATGAATATCGAGACCATTACAGAAAGTATTTTAGGCTTTGATATACAGCACCTTTTAAATCTCCATTGTACTACTTATAGCTACTTGCACCCTCTATGTAGCAAACAATGCCTAATCGGTGACCATTGGTCCCCCATTATCCTCTTTATCTTATATTAACTGAGAGCTGATTTGATGAGATAACCACCTGTCCAGTGACCTTGCAGGGTGGTCTAATCCCTACTGCAAACTAGTACAGATGGGCTTTAAAATGAGTTTAAGAATGCTCAGAACCTGATTTGAATGAACGGCATTTTGACATAATTTTGACAAAATAAAAATGGCAAGTTTAATAAATACCTAATTGCGTACTGAAAAGACCAAAATGGCAACAGGACGCATTTTTGATCCTTGCAAATGCATAAAATGGTATGTCTGGCATTTAAGATTGCTCCCCCCCAAAAAAAAAAAAAAAAAAAAAAACTAAAAAAAAAAAACTAAAAAAAAAAAAATATTGAATAAACAAAAAAAAATTGAATTAAAAAAAAAAAAAAAAAAAAAAAAAAAAATACGAGCGGCCCGAAAATGACGAGCGGGCGGTCGGGGACAACCAAATGATTTTTTTTTTTTTTTGCCTAAGAGGCAAACACTCTGTATGTGGTATCAAAGTTAACAGAGAAGAACAACCAACATTGACTGTCAAGTAATGAGATCAATCAAAATGAAATATTTCATTACCCACCTTGAGGAACCATATTCTTTTAATTCAATTTAAGGGGGAAAATGTGATGATTTGCAAATATTATTATGAAGTAGAGCGAGAAGCGATTATCTTGATGGTCATCTTATGTGTTACGAGAAAGGGATAGATTCATAGAAATGGAAGATGCCAGACGATCATGGCGAAAAATAATTTTTAGTTCAATGTCATATTTTTATAACGTGGAATCATAGCATATATAAATTTCAGCCCCATTCCCTAATACTCCATTGCATCATCTTGTAATTAGATGCATCCCGATGGTCCCATGGGAAATTTGAGTTGTACAAGTAATCATAATAAACTAAAAATGAGACGATTTACTGTGAAACAAGATTCATACTGAGGAAGATGCCAAACTTGAATGTTTAAGAAACTTACTTGCTGGCTGAAGTAACTTGTAGTTGAAGAGTTTGAGCAACATTAGTAAGTGTCCTTAGACTAACATTACCGGATTGTGAGAGACTGCTTGGTGACAGGCCAACATTTTCCACTATGGATGACAACCGCTTCTCTGAAAATGGAAAATATAAGAGACTGGTGAAGATGTAAACTTTCATTCACCATTTGAATTTAAAATTAGATATGCAGATAATAAATAAGTAATTCATATCCCTTGTAAATTTGATGTTTTTTGTATTTTTTGTAGAAGTCAGGCAAGGGGGTGTTTTATCCCAACTCTATACACTGTGTTTGTTGATGGGCTCATTAAAGAATTACTTGAGAAAGGGCTGGGTTGTGTCATCAATGGACGTTATTCAGGAGTTAATGTTCTGGCTGATGATGTGGCTCTTGCTAGTAACTCTGCCGGCGACCTTCAGGAGATGTTGGAAGATGTTGGAAGACGATGGCGCTATAAGATCAACTCCTCCAAAAGTGCTGTGGTAATAAGCAAAGGTAGTAAAGGTACATTCCAAACTTCATGGACTGTTGGTGATGCCATTATTGCGGGGAAAGTTTGTCACCCGCATCTTGGAATCCAGAAGTCGAGTGTTCGCAGGGATCCAACTGATGAGATCATTGGGAAGGGTCTTCATACTTTACATGCCCTATCAGGAGCTGGTGCTTACTCCAGTGGTCTTATTCCCATTCTGTCAGCTCGTTTGTGGAAGACTTTCTGCATCCCAAGAATATGGCTCTTCAATCTTTAATTTTACCAAGTCAATGTTAACTAAACTGGACTGAGTATAATCTCATCTATTCAAATAGATCCTGGGTGTACCCTTATCTGCAGCAGATGAAATAATCTACCTCCTCAAGGACCTCGTCCCGATGTCTCATCAAATTGACCTTAATAAGCTCCTCCTTCTTGGTCAGGTCCTCAATCTTGACAGTGGAAGGTTTGAATCGCGGACTTTTCTAGCAGCTTTCGCGGTGAATGCTCCTTCCATCCAAGCACTCCGATGTATACTGCAGAGATATGATCTTTCTAATCTTGAGAGTTTGATGTCTACTCCATTTTCATATCTCAAATGGAAGCGGTTGATTAAGTTCAAGATTAAAGATGTTGTACATGCCAAGACTGTTGTCGCTGTACTCTCCAAGTCGTCCATTAAGTATTGGTCAGGCAAGATACCTCTGGATCCGCATCTACTCTATCCACAACATTCTTCGTCTTACATCATACGGCAAGCTCTTTGGCTGAGGGCTCAACTTCTCTCCAACACGTATTTGGTTCAGACAAGACTGTGCAAGATCCAGAAGACATATATGGAGCACTTATGTTTGACAATTAGAGACAAGGAAAATGACAGATTTCCTTTCAATTTGAATGACTAAACATGGCCTGTCTCCTCTGAAAGCTAAACTAGATAGCTACCAGAATCTCCCTCCCAATGTGTCATTAGCAAAGGTGAAGATAGAAGCTAAAAGGTAATTGGTACGTACCACTTCCAAATGTTATACATGTATTGTGATATGTAATATGATATGTCCAAACGTTGTTCCAACATTATGTCTATATCCGCAAAAGAGCAGTGTCAATGAAGTTGATACTTGATAAAGTTATAGTCCTAAATTGTCATAATCAGCTCTATGAATATGAATGATGTCACATCAACATTGCGCCAATAGAGCATCAAAACTGTGTTTTGACGGTGTGTGATTAGAATATACTTTTTTTGGTGGACAGTTGCTAAAATCTATTTTAATTTATCATTATTGATTTACCAATAGAAGCCATTGGAATGACACTGTCTCTGAAATGACACTGTCTATCATGTTGAAACTTGGTACAGAGTACTAAACTTGGTATAGTGATAGTATATCATTATTCACTTTCATAGTCATCATCTTCATCGTCATGAAAGAATTTTACCTTCTCCATGGTACTCAGTGGTCTTGTCGTTAAGATCATCAATCAGGATTTGTTTATCTGTATCTCTCTCCTTACATCTCTGCATCAGATCATGTAGCATCACCACCATCTTGACATTAATCTCATACTGTGGGACTGTGTGATCTCCAAACACTTCCTCCAACCAACATCGCACCTGGGAGAAAATTACAGTTTGAAGAGGGTCTTTTAACACTGAAAATTGTAATATGGATTTCTTTGACATAACCAACAGATAAACTGAACAGGAGACAATCTCAGATTCCAAATTCACAGATATAATGAGAATCAAATAATAATAGAATTCTAAAGGACGGGAGTTTGTAGATGCGCAGTGCACTGAACTAAACTCTCAGATAACCAAGGGGCACTCATCAAATGTTTACATATATGTATGTGGATATAATATAGTCCAATACTTCTAAACCAATACTGCAATACCCTCTTACATAGTGTTAGCAAAGACAAATGAGACCATTCAGTTTTCTGTTCTCTACGCTCTATTAGCAGGGGCATAGATAAGGAGAGGGGACGATGGGGGCAGTTGCCCTCCAAAATGAAGGGAAAAAAGGGAAGAGAGCGGAAAAGGGAGGGAGTGGAGGAGAACTCAGAAAGGAGAGCAGAGGGAGAAAAGGACCTCTTTGAATTTTCCTAACTACACCTCAGTGAAAGCTTGCTCTTCATGTGGACAAGAGTCAACAATTAAGATCTTTAAAAACTGACCCCTCCATCATACCCCAACTTCATGTAAGAGCAACAAAATTATTATTGAATTCGAAAAGTAAAAGGAAAGCGGATTTTTGTCGTACAGACTATTTAAATATCCTCTTTCTAGGAATCAGTCGAAAGACCCAACTATTTTGTGAGGAAACTCAACCATCTATTAAAGCCTAGGCTAATTAGGAGAGTTAAACTTCTCCTCCAACCTCCTCGAAACTTACAGCTCTTGTCCTTTTTTACGAAAAAAAAGGCTCAACCCGACACTGAGCTCTACTCTTGAGCTCTCCTGCCAACTTAACTCCAGGGAGCTGGTTCCGACACCGGAGCTCCCTGGAATTACTGCCTAGATCTACTCATCTTGCCCGGATTCTAAGTAAATTACTAAGTTACAATACATCCACCAAATTCACTCTAGAGTCTATGTGCCTGCTACTGTACTACCTATAAGCTTTCTGACTCTATACCGGCCCCCACCTATCACTCTTCTCAGTCTCTCTACCAATTTCAGTGATCCGACCAGAGTCACCAGACCCACCGGTGATATGTGTCTGCAATTGGCGTAAAGTGTCCACTCGATTTGTTAACGTTAATTTTCAGAAAACTTTTAATTGAAATGTTTGCCGTATTATTTAGATGTTTTTGTGTTTGAAGTGTTATGTTTGCAAGATAGTTGAGTTGCAATAGATTTTAAATATCAGTAGCAAATTTATCAGTAGCAATTTATTGCAATTGATCAAACGCAAGTTTCTGTTGCAAGAAGCCAACTGATCGACGTTATTTTATATTTGTGAAAACGACCGGATGGCCGAGCCTAACTAATTTCTCAATTGTAAGTGTAGACTAGATCGATCTAATCCGCATGTCAGACCATCATGGATGCTGTTATGTAAGGCAGTATTTAATCAGCGGGTTTACCCCGACACTTTTTCATTAAACGATAAAAGATCATTGAGGCGAAAGGCGGCTGGCGGGTAATTTTCGATTAGACAGCAAAGAAAATAGAGTCAGTCGGCAGTGAGAACGGGAGAGAGAGATAACGAAAGAGAGAAAAGTAATGGTAGACTGACATAAAAATAGAGAAGGGAGAGCCCAAGAGGGATGAATGAAAAGATAGATGAAGCTGGAGGAAGACTAATTAAACTCCAGGAAGCTCCAACACCGGCGCCGGTGTTGGAGCATCCTGGAATTAGAGGAAGACTAGGGTTTGTGTGAGAGAGAGAGTGGAGATATGCACACTTAAAGGTGATTTTTAAGTTGTAGGACGCATTTCGCCAGTAGACTGATATCGCCGTGATATACGCGACGATATTTGCCGACCCAAGACACATATCGCCGAGGACGGACGCGTATTGCCAACCAATTTTCGCCGTTCTGTGTCCTAGGACACAGAATTCAGAATGCCACCCTCTAGCCTGTGACACGGGTCTGGCGCTAGCTGGCGCTGGCCTTATACAGCACGCGCCTGGGGCTCGTTCCTAGAAACCAACGACAAGACAGTTGAATAATCAAATGACAAAACTTCAACATTCCAATTTCCAAACGTTAAAAAAACATGTTTTATTCATTTTACACATTTGAAGATAGAATTTATCTCGAAGGCAATATGGGTCTGAAAACGTGGCAGATTACCCAACCCCTTAAGGATTTTACAATATGTAAAGAAACGCATAGAATAATCAGTTTATAAAAGTGGGAAAAACCTAAAATATGAACATGGCATAGACTATTTTCAAAAGATTTTCTAATGTAAAGAAATGATAACTTCCTGTAAAAGTGAATGTGAAGAAAGATCATAGCTGTAGGATTTATTGTCCTTTCTTGCTAGCCATAGATCTAGTCTACCCAATAAATGACACGTGATGGCGCTGCCCATCGACTAAATACCGGTCCGTATAGTTATGACAGAGATGTTGAAGGCATCATAACTCCTTAGTCAGGAAGTTGTCCTTGGCCTTGATGTTAGCAAAGAGGGCTTTGTGAAACACGTAGCGGACAAGTTGCTCACTAACCCTGATTTAGTCAAGAAGTTAGACTTAGTCTATGACGGTTTCTAGGAACGGCCCCTGGCGCTCCATAATAAGGCCAGGGGCCGTTCCTAGAAACCGTCATAGACTAATTCGAAGCCAACGGGACGGGTACGGGACGGGTACGGGACGGGTACGGGTCGGAGGAAGGACAAAAAGCAGAAGAAGAAGAACCATGAGAACCGCTGTCGCAGCTAGCGTAGCTAGATCTACAAAGGAGCAGTGGCTTATTTATTTCACGAGACTACAGAACTTCAATTTAAGCATTATTGTTTTTGTCTAATTAATTTAACAAGCAATGTTTCAATGCACAAGGTAACTTACTTCTCTATGTTTCTCCTTGACTTCGTGGTTATCGGCCATTGCTTTTTCATTTGTTTTGAGATTTCGGAAACTAGCGCCACACTACATTATGGAGCGCCAATTGTAGATAGCAGACACGTTCAGGATTAGGCTAGAAGTATATACAGGGTGGCACAGCATCCGAAACGGCATGAAGCTGTTAACAAAATATAAGCAGTGGACAGAGTACAATTTGCATAATTAATGTAGTTTGCACAACGTATAGTACCGATATATCAGGGTTATTACCTGATAGTAAGCTAAAGTAAGCTAAAGTGTATGCCTATTAGATTTAGATACTGACATATCAAAGATAATTATGGAGAAACTGGGAGGGCATGGCTAGCTAACAGTATCAAACATCAAAATGGTTAGTTTCTGGTTAAGAATAGTAAAAGGTTCTCCCTCTAAATATTCAGTCAAATTTTATTTTTTGCAAAGGTTAATTAGTCAGAATGTAGATATGTCTACTTCTTTCAAGTGGTTATCTTGTATTGAAAAAATATTGAACCATGCTGGTCTTGGTATTGTTCAAGCCTGGTATTGTTTGGCTAAAGCAAGGGGAAGGATTTAGCAATAGTTGGATACTGAGCACTCTGAAGTTGAGATTAAACGATATTTCAAAACAAGATGTGATGGCAACAATTTGGACAAACAGTGTGTGCCTGAATTATAGGATCTTTAAAAAGGATTGTCTAGTTTGAAAGGTATTTAGTTTTGCTGAGTAAAAAAGATAGAATAACACTGAGCCGTTTTAGATGTACCGTTTACCAATTATTCAAAGAAGCTTTTAATGAAATTAGTATTGAATGCCCATGTTGTGATATGCATGAGTCTGGTGATGAATTCCATTATGTTTTTGTATGCCCTTTTTCAGAAAGGAAAGAGAGTTATATTTAGGTCGCAAAGTAATAGTTAAACGCCCTTGCACATTACACATGTTGAATATATTTTTATATTCCGGTATAGGACAGCTGAAGAAATCAATACTCTTCTTAAGGGTGATAATGTCATATTTTGCTGGTCTATATACATGTAAATCTTAACAATGTCACCCATAAAAAGGAATGTTACAACCCGAAGTGGTAGATTAATTAAGCAACCAACAATTCTTGATCTGCAGTACAGTCTTTCTTTATAGTTTTGATGGTTTGTTTGTTCTTTTGTTCTTTTTTTGTTGTTAGTATACTTTTTGTTTTTGTTTGTCTTATTACATTATATTCCATTATGTTTTTGTTTGTCCAATGGACGATTATGCCGTATTTTGTTAGTCTACATAAGTCTTAACAATCCAATCACAACTCACTTACATGTACAAAAATGAAACTTATAATTTCTTATAGTTAAGACAATAATGTATTTTTTTTTTTAAATTTAAAATTATTTTTTGTTTTTATCTTTCTTTTTCTTCATGTTTGTATTTAGATTGTTCATGTGGTATTCTCCACTTTTCATGTATGCTTGCCATATTTTATAATATTGTGTTTATGTTTAGCATAGGCTAGGTTTAGATCATTCCTATTTATCGTTATACTTTTATATTGTTGTTTTGTTGTATTCTGTATTCTTTGTATTATTAAGCTATGTTTGTATTCTTTATTATGTATCATTATCATGAAATGTACATGTGTTGTACTCTAATACCCCAGAAGGGGGTCGAATGAGTCAATAAATTCTATTCTATTTTATTCTATTCTATTCTAAAGAAAAGAGGAATTCGGTATTTTCTTAATATTCGAATGATGCAATAGGTTACATTTTTGATTGCATGTCTTGCTCTTTACCATTGTGCCAAATTTGTTGTTTTAAAAAAAAAGTGGATGCCTTTCAATCTTAAATTCCAAAAGTGATACACGCCTGACCTTTTTCTAAACAATACTCAAGGTATTTTGTATTGCCACGTGCATACTTGTGGTGGTACTATACGTTTGAATAAATTGTTAAAGCAAATTGAACTTTTCCTAAGAACACATCTTGACTATCGCTGTAATTGTGGCTTTGTGTATTATAATTCTGACATTGTCCTATGGGACAGGAGTTTAAAATTGTAATGTTCAGGAATTAGAACAATTTTTTTTGTTTACTCGAGTTTGAAAAAGCCCTTACAACGGTCAATGGAAAAAATAATCAGCTAATAATAGGAGGTGATTTCAACACGATCAGCAATTTTAACCTGGATTACATGGGAACTGGTAAACAAAAGGTTCTCTATAAATTTGGTAGACTCTTTCAAAATTTTGTGGATAGATTAAATTTGATTGATATTTGGAGAGTGAGAAATGGAATGAAAAAGCAATTTACGTATATAGACAAAACAATCCTTTTTATGCAAAGTCGACTTGATTATTGGTTTGTATCCGAAAAATCAGATGAAATAATATCAAAATGCAATATAATATCATTTATAGCTCCTGATCATTCAGCTGCACAACTAAACTTTTTTAATTTACCTTCGAATGATATCAAATTCAAAGGATCTTATTGGAAATTTAATAATAGTTTATGTAAAGATGAAAAGTTCATCGTGTTAATGAAAACCGCAATCATTGAACTCATGGGTGTCGATCCCTGGGGGGGGGGGGGATGGCACAATCATCCCCCCCAATAATTCACCATAAAAACATTTAAAAATGAGGAGAAAAACGTGTACAAACACGTTAATTTTACTATTTTTGGGAGATGCCCCCCATGGCGCTCAAGGGGGGGGGGTGCGATTTTGCAAAAAAAAAATTAGTGCTCACTACGCCCCCCCCCCCCCCCCACTATGCGAAATAGTGGCCGGCACGATTTTCAAATTTCAGCACACTAAATTTCAAATTGATTTCAAATTTGCCCCCCCCTCCTTAAGAAATTTTGGGTCCGCGCCTGGACCTTGTATGGCAAAGAATCGGTCAGTCGAGTTGTAAATTCATTGCAACTAGTGATAATTTGTTTATATATAATTGTTATCAATCTAATTATAGATATGATTATTATTATAACTTTTCACTGACTCGTTTGTTGTTGTTGTTCATTTATCTTATTCTTTTGATTTATTTACCACCTGTGGGATGGAGCACCTTGATCAGCAGGGATGGGTTTTACATAGGGGTCCAGTCACATCAAAATCAAAATGCAACAATGCACTCATAGATAAATAAAATAATAATAAAAAATAATAATCAAGGAACATCATGTAGGCATACAAATCGAAGAGAAACACACAAAGGAATGTCATATTATATATACAAAAATAGGGGAATGAAAAGGGGAATTAAAACAGGGGTTATTTTGTTTAAGCTATAAGCTAGATCGATCCTGCTAGTTATATAACAGGAAATCACATTTGTTAAAAAACGTTTATTCTCCAGATTGTTCCAAATAATTAGCTCCTTGCCATACACGAAACGTTTTTTTTACCGTAATTTTTTTTTGGGTTCGGGAAGTGGATTTTGCAAAACCATAACATTTTTTTTTAATAGTTCTTTTTTTTCAAGTAAAATACCACAGAGTGCCCCCTAATAGTGATTGACTTTTTATTCGCCAAGCTTCCAACATACAACAATATACAAGAATAACAGATCAAAATTAAGTCAGCTTGAACAGGATAACCCACGAAAGCTCGAGAGCTTATTTCCAGTGGGGTCCCTATAGGCTTGAGCGGTACACCCCCGTCCAAACCAAACCAAACCAAACCAAATCTGAGTATCCCCCCCCCGGGGGGGGGGGGGGTGGGGGTAATAAATTTGGGCTAAATTTATTTATTGCACAGAACATTGTAAGAGCTAGTTGTTTTGACCTCCGATATACACAATCCAGTTTAAGAAACTCTTATTTTTATAATTACTGTAGATATCGAGTAATGATCTATTCTGTAAAATTAAATATTCACAACAGGTTTTGCCCATATCTCCCCCCCCCCAATTATACACTACCGTAGTCAAACAAAAATTGGATTACAGTTTTGTAAAATACAGTCTTTATTTTAAGGAGATATAAATATAAAATGAACCGCTCATGATGATAAATGAGCAAGCAATTTGTCATTCTTCTAATACTCAGAGCCTATGCCGAATAGAAATGCACCCTATCACATATGGACACAAACATGCGAAGAAGAAAAAACGTCGTCTCTCCATCCATAAATAGGCTACCAAATATTGATTTCATATGATGGATATATAATCCATTATATCAAATTAATATTACGATCGGCATTGAAAGGGCATATAACCCAGGGGCGGATTCAGCCGGCGACGAGGGAGGGGCCCAATTAGTGAGAAAATATTTTGATAATCGGGGGGGGGGGGGCGGGGGAGCGGGAGGGGGGTAATGCAAATTTTCTTATACTTTTTACTCAACACCTCCCCCCCCCCCCCCACCCCCTCCCTTGAGTAAAAACAAAATCAAAAAGGTAAAATTGTGGTTACCATCTTTTATGGGTAAAATTGTCGTTATTGTCGTTACCATCTTTTTTCAAAACTTTTTTTTTGCCATGGCCTGGATCCGTCCCTGATGTAACCATACTCCGAGAAAAAAGGGCGCTGGGTTGTACTCTCTAGATCTTTTACCAAATCCTGGATCCGTCCATAATGACTGCAATTGTCTTCAGCGCAAGGAGAGTACACCAAATCCTCTGTTTCACATGGCGTACCATAGCTCTATTTATTACGCAATACCTATACCGTGAAGAAATAGAGCTACGTGCGATCGCATGGGACTCGGATCATCGGAAAGAAAGAAAGAGGACATCGACATGGTACTTTCATAATCATAGATAAATTAGTAGGGTTAAAAGCAGAGATAAATCAGAGAGCAAGAAGAGACTACAGTGTATCAGCCAGAACTAATGTTAATGTTACGAGGTAAGCCTGACCAATCATGATCATGTCCAATTGACTCTAGACATCTATTACTTTATTAGTTGACTTGTCTTGAGTTGAGTTGAGCTCCGATCCGACGCCGCCGACGCTAAAGGCGAAGGGTGCATTCGGCGTCGGTGTCGGAGCTCCCTGGAGTAAGAGTTGAGCCTGAGGCTGTTCAATAAAGTGAGAGTTTGGTATTAATCAAGAAATGATTTTTGAATAAAATTTCAGTGTTATTTTTTTCACTGCCCATGGACTATTAATTTATTTTAAGCTGACTTGTGATTCCGTTCTAGATTTGGAGTCTCGACAAACATCTTGCCGGGGATAGGCACATTCATGGGGCACTAGAGGGCGCTTTGCGCGCGTACGAAAATCTGAATGGCCTTGCTGCGGTGGGTCGGCAATAATCAGCCCAAAACTTGGATATGGGAGGGTGGAAGGATATATCTTTTTTATAATGTTATCTGGTCTTACCCTTAACCATCCTATGTTTAATCTATGTAGAAATAACATGCGAGTACGATAAGAGAAACATCGGGCCCATTACTGATGCAACTTTTAAAATATTAGCCTAGAAATGACCTCCAAACGGAAAAAATTGACATTTTTTCCCGACAAATCTTCATAAAATCTGATTTATAAACAAGTCACATCTAGGTACACTAATACAAATACGATTTTCTGAAAATTCAGGTATTATTTTTTAAGTTTCTTTCAAGTATATTTCTGCGCATTGCAGTGCCAATGTTCTTCACTGCTTCAAAATCACCCTTGAAATTTTTTTTTGCAACGAATTTGTTACGAGGTCCGCGAGTGTTCCCCGTTCCTTGCGTGTTGAAAGTTTGGTAATACATAGTTTACATTGACTTGCGCACGAAAAAATGGTCGAAAACAAAATGTCAAATGAAGAAATAAACAAGCTTTTGTATAGTTATAAGAGTTCTACCGAGGTTTCTTTGTCGATTTAATTTATTATATAGTCTCAATTAGAATTCAGAATTATCTCACTGAAAAGTTAAGAAACCGACGATGTTCTCGATCGTAGTTATTTTCATTTTGCCAGCAGCCGATCTAGCGTTGTTTGGGCAAAAAGCTAGGCCGCTGCCTTCCCATCGCAAACCTTTCCTAAAAATGGCGCGCTGCGGAGCTCCGAAGCTGCGTTGGTATCGCTGCAAACTCTCAGCCGGCTAGCTCCCCAAGACGGACCATTCGCAGTATGGCGAGATTGTGTGTGTGAGGTACGATTTTGGATTCGAGAATGCACGTAATGCAACCGTGCGCGTCATATTCAGCTGTCGAATGTCTACGACCAATTTTACATGTACGATTTTTAGTACAGATACTTGGTCAGTTTTCTTCTTATATCTTTGGTTTTACAACATTTAAAAATATAATTTCTTCAAATTTGCTCCTGACTCGGTTCAGACTAATTGTGTGATGTGTTTTCAAGTCAATTTTTTGAATATATTTTTTTGCATGAATTTGCCTACCGGGGAAGTTCTTGCTCCTCTTGGCAAAGACAGTTTAAAAAAAAAACTTGGCAGACAAGTCAAGTGACAGCGTCAAGATTGCATTGATCATGTACTTGTGACAGTGTTATGAAACGACCCCCTGATAATGATATACCTGTATAATAGGCCATTTTTTTAATGTAATCAAATTTAAGGCACAAATTGTTAAGTATCTTGTTACAAATTATTTCACTCACCTGTCACACAAAATTTTATTTCAATAGATGTATTGTTAGGTAGGACAAACTATGATTTCTAGTACTATATCCACACCAGTTAGTAAGATGTGAGGGGGTGGAATGTCTATCGACCACTAGGAGTTGCATGCATGTACAAAATAAATGGTGGAAAATAAAATAAATAAATTGTAAATACTTCATTAATCACTACTTTATATCATACAGATCATCTCTTGATAGCTACTGTTTGCAAGCGTGACTCCATCCAAGGCTGAAAGTTGGCTGAAATGTTGGGGAAATATAGGAATGCTCAAAGGATTGCTTCATTGGTAAGGGGACAGGGGTCTCATTTTCCTTCTAATTTTCTCTCTAAATGTATATTCTTTTGTCTATATTAGTTTGGGAGATTCTTTAATAGGAATTAGATTTTTTTAACCTTCCCCATACACAGATGGTGTTGTGGAGGTGCTGTAGTCGAGGGGTTTAATTCTGAAAAGAGAGCGTTATTTAGGCCATGCAACAGCGGGGGGGGGGGGGGGGGGGGGGGGGGGACCAGTGAGATCATAAGAAGGGTCTTTAAGGGTTTAACACTTGACTGGAGATGTGAAGGTTGTGGGTTCGAGCTCCAGCATGGCTCCAGTGCCCTTTGGCAAATAATTGATATATATTTGCTACTCTCGATCTACCTGGGTGTTACAATGGTTATCAGTATAGGAAGGAATTCCTTGAATCCTGTGAGTACCAAAATCAGTACCAAAATCGATGGAGGAAATCACAAAACTCCTTGAAATAAAGGGAGTTTATTTTGTCTCCTTTTTTTCTTCATCAAACATTGACACTTAGAAAAAATTGTGTAATCTGAAGGAAAAAAGAAGATACTCCCCCCCCCCCTCCCATTTTGCTAACTGAGCTTGTCTATTCAAATATTTTAAATTGGACTATTCTTGTTTAATACAGTGATTATTTTTTTCTTCTGTTAATTGTAGATCAGAAAGAAAAAGATCAGATGGACATCCTTCTCCCAGCATTCAACAAAATCTAGTAAGTTGAATATTTTTGTGGTTCAACTTGTTAATTAGGGGTCTTTTGGGGTTCAGTGATATCATTGTGCTTTTATTTGTACATGTTGTAATGGTTGGTAATATATGAAAATGTTGATACATGAATGTAAATATTGAGGTTATCCAGAGTGTCAAAGGAGTGAGTTTTATATAGAAGCCCTTCAACCCAGTGCAATTCCAGAATTTTCAAATGGGGAGGGGTAGGGGGGCACATTGAAAAACGCACAAGTCGGCTATCTAGGGAAGAAGGGTACCGGCGAGAGATGATTCAATTTCAGTACCTTAGACTTGAGATTTCTGCAATGACTATAATTTGCCTTTTTTTAGGGGGCAAATGCATTTATTATTGCTTCTTATATATGTAACACAAGTTTGAGTCTAGAGCACCCTTGCCCCCCCCCCCCCCCCCCCCCAAAAAAAAAAAGAGAACTGTTTGCTTGTATTTCACATAATTATGAATGAATGTACACCATGTATTTCCTTTTTCCCTCCTATTGTAACTAAAGATATTATACAATTTCCCATTCCTGAAGTAATGAAAGTTGTCAAAAGGATTCCTAGATGAATACTCTTGAATTCATTAGAATATGATCCTTCTTACAGGTGAGAGTGGAAGCCCAGCTGATGTTGAAAAGATCCGCAATATTGGTATCCTGGCTCACATTGATGCAGGCAAGACCACTACCACAGAGAGGATGCTCTATTACTCAGGCACCACAAGGCATCTAGGAGGTAGGTACATACAGCATGTAGAATATGAGATGGGAGCAGGGTTATATTGGTATCCTGGCTCACATTGATGCAGGCAAGACCACTACCACAGAGAGGATGCTCTATTACTCAGGCACCACAAGGCATCTAGGAGGTAGGTACATACAGCATGTAGAATATGAGATGGAAGCAGGGTTATATTGGTATCCTGGCTCACATTGATGCAGGCAAGACTACTACCACAGAGAGGATGCTCTATTACTCAGGCACCACAAGGCATCTAGGAGGTAGGTACATACAGCATGTAGAATATGAGATGGGAGCAGGGTAATATTGGTATCCTGGCTCACATTGATGCAGGCAAGACTTCTACCACAGAGAGGATGCTCTATTACTCAGGCACCACAAGGCATCTAGGAGGTAGGTACATACAGCATGTAGGACATGAGATGGGAGTGGGGTATTTCAGGCATTTAGGCATTTAGGAGGTACACACAACTGTTGTGTGATCCATGCTCCGATAGCAATTACTCTGTTATGTGTTTTGTTTAAAATTAAAGATGTTATACTGTGTATTTTTTAAGTAGTTGACATACAATAGATGTGTCTTTAACTTTAAAGGAATCCTGTATAATTTCTTGTTAGATAATTAATTTTTAAAGACAATCCTCAAGAGGTTAAGTCTTACATGGAACATCGAAACGTGCAACCATTTTGATGGAGACCTGTTGTTTTACCCGCAATAAAAAAAAAATCATGCAAGAATAGCCAAAACCAATATTGTCTCAAAATTAATCTTATAATAATGTTCAGAGATTGCTAAGGTCAGGCAGAACTATTTCAGTATCATTAATTTACTTCTTTGCTTTCAAGGAGACATGTATTAAGAATATGTTCATGTACTAAGGCCCAGTATTTATTATAGGAATATTTTGAATTTTAATGTATGAGCATAAACAGCATTGATCTTGACAGCTTATTGTTGTGTTTAAAACAAAAATTATGCAGTACTAATTTTTGCTTGTTATAGATGTTGATGACGGCGATACAGTTACAGACTACATGCCTCAGGAGAGGGATAGAGGTATCACTATCACATCTGCTGCTGTTACGTTTCCCTGGAAGAACCACAGAATAAATCTCATTGATACACCTGGTAAGGAGACTACTCAAAAATTTGTTAATGGCACTCCTGGGCCCCGTCTTATAAGGAGTTGATATCAATCGCAACATATTTGCGATTGATATCCATCGCAACTATTTACATAAGAGATAGGAGACTGCAAACCACGATTGATTGTGAGCCATAGATTACAATAATATCAATTATATGCCATTTTAGTGTCTGTCAGAGGAGTATCAGCTCTCTGAATACTCAAAATCTAAAGCTTTGAGAACCGGCAGTTGTTGACCTAAAAACTTGCTATCGACTACATGACATCATCTTTATATGTGGAGTACGCATATTCACAATGACTTTGCATTCATTAAGCACGGCTCATTGCCTCAGCTTCATAGGTGTGAACCGATGGGGTCCACATGTTATGTCGTCACTGTAACTTTTGCAAATTTGACCCCGGTTGCCCGTAATTTGGAGGGATGTGGAAAATTAGGTTTTTATACTTGTTATTCCTTTATATTTGTGTTCTACATTCATTTAGTTTTCCATTTATATCAAATTATATTTTCATCAGATAGGATCTTTAAGTTTGTTTTGATCCAGAGTACATGTTTGTGATTGCCTATTACAGGTCATGTTGATTTTACCATGGAGGTAGAGAGATGTCTGAGGGTATTGGATGGTGCTGTTACTGTCTTAGATGCATCCGCTGGAGTTGAGGTATGTGTATATCTTGTTCTCAAATGACACTGTAAACTATCTCTATGTAATGTAAAGTGGCTTAAAGGTAGTGCACATCATATCTCTATATCAGATATCAGATCTCCATGGCCCATTGTTTTGTACAGACACCTGTACTTCAATTTTTTACCCCTCTTTAATACCATTTATTTAAATTTCAACAAACCCTTTATGTCATGCTAAAAGATTGGCTGAAAACTATTGTTTTGCTGGAGCTGTACACTATATAAAGCAATTTTTGTTTAAATTCTGAAGGTAAAAAATGTCCTCAAATTAAGCACAGTGAAATGATTTTCATCAGCCTGAATGCAGCAAAAGGACAAGGAACTTGCCTGTCATTTCACAAGCTCTGAAACATATTGATATCTTAGATATTGACTGTTAATTAAGGAGAGAGATGGCTGGTGACCTCTCAAGGTACCCGGTCCCACTTTGGGGAAGGTGAATCGAAGACCTCCTTTTACTCCTCACTCAAACCACTTTTAATATTTAAGTTTAGTTATGGAAACTTTAATTTTTGACAATATTATGAAAAAAATGTGTCTTTCTCTTTTGAATTTAGTTTACACATGTATGTGAAAGCTTAGGAAACTTAATTTGAAATGTTGTGTTTTGAATGAAGGCACAAACTTTGACTGTTTGGGATCAGGCTAACCGTCACACCATACCAAGAATAGGATTCCTGAACAAGATGGACAAACCTGCTGCTAATATAGATATGTGTTTATCATCCATCAGAGATAAACTCAACACTACACCATTACTTCTTCAGGTAATAATAATAATAATAATATGTTTTGTTTACCCAGGGTAGCCTCATCAGTATTCATACTGTTCTCTCTGAGGGCCCTGCAATCATATCATTACCCTGCCTTAGCCGAGCTACCATAAAAAGCATTCAAGGAATTTCTAATACAACACGGTCATCTCAGTGTCTAATATTTTACATGATTTGTCATGTAGGAAAATACGTTCTTTAATGAAGTCTTTGGCATTCATTAGGTCGTAGGTGAGGAGGCAAACTTCCGCTGCTTAGCGTAATGGAACCAAAGTCTTAGCCCATTATTCTTATGACCTTTAAATTATAATAATTTTGAGTATTCAGAATACAGTAATGTAATTGACATCAAGGCATGTAAATAGGGACTAATTTAGTCTAATAAAAAAGGAGAGGAAAGGGTCCTTTGGAAATTGCTTGTGTGTAACAGGATAAGCCCAAGCACATGGAAGGTTTTTAAAATATGATTTTGTTTGAAGTACACTAACAAATTGTAGAATAGTTACCCTTGATGACATATAAAAGAGTTGCTGAACAGAGTATTGAATTTTGTATCCTACATAAAAAAATATTCCAGTGCAAGGATTGGCCACGGATGGCTCATGTGACATGAAATACTTCCAACATGAAGAAAAATGATGTTGCAGGCAGGTTATTTTGTCACTACCACTGCTCCAGTGTATTTTAAGTGTTCGGTGAAGACGTACATAGAGCATTTTCTGGTTCCTGTACCCAAGCATATTTACCTTTAATGTTCATCACATGTCACATGTGTATCTCAATGATACAGAAAACTTTCATTGGTTGGGGTGATCATGGTATATAAATTAGGCTTCTGCCAAACTTAAAATTTAGTAGGCAAGTATATTACTGTTTTCATTTCTTTTCATTGCAGCTACCAATTGTCCAGTCCAATATATTATCAGGAGTAGTGGACCTTGTTTCCATGGAAACTGTTACTTGGCATAGGTCCAGTAAAGGTGTTGATGATGGATCCAGATTAATTCATTGCCCTTTGTCAGAAAGCCAAGACACCAGCCTCATATGTCAAGCAAATGATGCCAGAACGGAATTAGTAGAACAGGTATGATCTTAGAACAATCAAGAGATAACAAATTGAAATCATTTAAACTCTTCTGTTCAAATTTTAGTTGTTCAATTTTCAGTTATCCCGTTAATAACTCCTCCTTCTGCTCAACAATTATCTCTGAAATCGAAATAAACACAAAGACACAGTCAGTGACTGATCTACGGGAGACAAAACCAACATCTGCCCCCTCCATTTATGTCCCTCAGTTGTGTATTTGTATTTAATTGTGCCCCCCCCCCCTCAATCTTTTAGCCCTTTACAAAATCCCGACTTCACCACGATCTCAATGATGTTTACAGGAATGCCTTTTCACATCATAAAGACCTTGTTCCTTTCAATAGTTCCTATGTTATTGTATGCAAGCTGGTCAGTCACTTTTTTCTTCTCTTTGTTTGATATAACAGGTAGCAGATCTAGATGATGAGTTTGCAGACAAGATGCTCAGTAGCCCGAGCTTCAATCCTCTTCACATCTCATCGCATGATGTGAGTTAATGTGCCTGCTAAAGAATATTTATTATTATAATAAAATATATTTGTTTCCAGGCAGAATGAATCAGGGGGAGGGGGTGTTTGTGAGACCCCTCCAAACTGTTAGCCTTCCAGTAACTATCCTCAATTGCCCATAGTGTGAATATTTAAGTCTATATTTCGGTTACTGTAAATCTCTGGTATAAGGCGCATCTGTGTATAAGGCGCACCCCTATTTTGGGGAGGAGAAAGGAAAAAAAAAAATATATAAAAATGTTGTTGTTTTGTTGCCGAAAACCCACGCGGGGAAGGACCTTCATGTTACATCGAGGTGCAGTTGAAGTTGTGAAGTTGTCATAAATAAAAGTAACAACAGTCTAAGGCTTCATGATACCAAGTGTCCCACACCAGCCTCCTCACATCACCTAGCAGAAGCACTGTATTCTACGCCAAACATCAATAGTCATGCATGATATAAATAGCATCCTCTAAATTTCTGACAATGGAGTACCTAGGAAAGAACCTTGTGGTACACCATTTGTTATAGAAAAAAAATTGAGGAATTATTATTATAAACTACATATTGAGATCTATTAGAAAGATTACTTTCAAAACAAGATGACAGACAAATTTGAGTGTTGTTGTAGTTTCCGAGTGGTGGGTCAACACACTGATTACTGAGCTAGGAGACATTGCCAGGCATAGCGCCATAAATCGAAACTAAAAAAAATAAAAAAAAAAATTAAATTTTTTTTTTTTTCTTTACCTGTGTATAAGACGCACCCCCGACTTTCAAATTTTTTCGGCGGCAAAAAAGTGCGCCTTATACACAGAGATTTTCGGTAATTCTTGTTCATCACTTGAACCCAACCTTGTTTGAATCAATAACCATGTGTATGTATGTGAACCGACAATCACCTTTCACATGTATTCAATAGCCAAATTTGAATAGCGTTTACTGTAATACAAGACAACTTTGAAAATCGTAAGTGATTGTTATTTCTGCAGCTACAGTATAGAAACTTGAATGAACTGCGAAATTTCATGTTTACTATTGTAAATCAATCATTATACTTCACAAGAACTTTGAAGTCTGGGGAATGTTTCACAAAGACTAAGATCGACTTTATGTTGGACATAACTATGGCCGCCAGTTCATGCCACCGTTTGCTCTCACCGTTATGATTTGTTTTCCCTTCAATAATGAATTATTGTTCTGTAGATTTGTGACCATGATTTGTATGTCCCTTGAGAGACCAATGCCAGTAAATGGTGAGAGCAAACAGTGGCATAAATGGCCTGCCATAGTTAAGTCCAACTTAAAGGCGATCTTAGTCTTTGTGAAACACTCCCCGGAACTACATTTGTAAGAGTACAGGTTGCATGAGAATGTTTGTGGTTTGACAATTATGTGATACTCTTCAGTCATTAACATGTGAAGTGGTATACCAGGGGGGTGTTTCACAAAGATCCAAAGTCGAACTTAATTCTGAATTGGACTTAAACATTATGGAGAGCTATTCGTTGCCGTAAAAATAAAATATATTCAAAAGCAGAAATTCAAGTATTTTAGACTTTTCATAAATTCCACATCAAGAACATAAAATCTCCTTGATAACAGAAAATATGAATGATTTGAATCAACAGCCTTTTAAAATAACTTTTACAAAATATTTTCAAAGATGCTAACGGCTTTCCATAATTGTTAAGTCTTACTTGAAGGTTAAGTTCGACTTCGGATCTTTGTGAAACACCCCCCCCCCCCGATATATTGTGATGAATTAAAAACGTTATATCCTGTATTGAATGATAACAGCTCATGGAAGCAGTACGGAGTATCACGCTACACCAAAGAGGTTTGCCACTGCTATGTGGCAGCTCATTGAAGAACAAAGGAGTGCAACTATTGATGGATGGAGTCAATGATTATCTTCCCAGTCCACTCTTCAACAAAGACCCTCTTATGTAAGATATATCAGTGATGTAGGGTTTGAAAAGAGACATAGTACCTTATTAGCCAATTGTTTTGAGGAAGAGCAGAAAAATTTGCAAAACGAATCGGTATAATGACCCCAAAGTTTTTTTTAAAGGGATCCGGTAACTTTGTCTCAGATCCTGAAACAAAATCCTGAATTTAGCTCATGCTGTAATGATAATTATAAACCTTTAGGTCAGTCAAGAACCTCATGACTTTTACAAGCCGATCGCCTCTCTGATTATCAAGATATTTATGATTGGAAATCGAAACCAAATTTTGCGTTTGCCAAACGGTTTTCATAACACTACAGTCTATTGGGGAAAACGAGTATGGTAAAACCATTCACTCAAAGATTTTTACTTTTTTGAGGCACTTCTTGATCATTTTGAAGCACAATTTTTTTTTTAGGGCTTCAATATTACACCATATCACAGACACTGATAACACGTAGGGCCGTGCATCTCAGATTTAACATTTATAAACGATGCCTTTAAAGTTGAAAAGTGTTGGAGAAGACAAGACCTCTATCATCTCATCAATGTGTTTGTGGTAGTAACAATACTGCATCATAGCTGGAAAATTGTTCACTTTTGTCTAAAACCACAAAATGTGGCATATTTTTGCTAAGTAACCTACACCGAGCAATATATCAGATATGGAAGCACTCTCAAAAATTGTTTTATGAGGTAATTCTCCATGAAATAATTTTGTTAACCTTATACAACTCAGCCAGTAAAATCTCGTCCCATAAAACAAAAACTCAGCGGTGCCATCTCCCATTATCTCTTGTTCTTTTCCTTTGCTTTCCCCATCTTTTCCTCTTTATTTTTGCTCCCAGAGCTTCTTGCCTATAAAAAGCCATTTCCTAGTTTATAAAGGATGTTTATTCATAAATGCCTATGATTGAGAATATCGTATTTGTGATACTTCTCTATACAGGGAGGTATATGGCAAGGATCTGTGTGTGTATGCCTTTAAGATCATTCATGATAGACAGAGGGGACCACTTATCTTTCTTCGAGTGTACTCTGGAACACTTAAACCACAATCAGCCATTTACAATGCCAGCAGGAATTGCACGTGAGTATGGTAATTTGATACATGAGCATGCAATGATTCAAGTGTACAGTGATATAATGTATGACTCCTGTAGATCCAAGGTGTACTATTGAGTACCAAAAAATGGTATATAGGTCAAAGATGTCTTAACATCAAGGATTAATGGCAAGGCTTGAATTGTGCATCTGAAGCAAACTGTGTCTTCACAGTACACCACCAAGTCTATGTAATCCTAAAGTCGATTTAGCATTTCAGTATTTCTAAAAATAATGCTGCTTTGATATAGAGTACCGAAGTGTGACGTCATACTGGCCAAGTTGTCAAGGTTGCTGGTTCCACACAAATTTTGTGCTTAACAATGGTATGGGTTGTATGAAAACTTGCAAACAATGTCTATGAAACATCCATGCTGATGGAAAAAAGTCACTAATCTGGGTATTTATATTAACCCTTGACAATAGCAGTACAAATTGAAACATATTCATTGAAGTTCTTCCCATATGTAGCAGTACTCGACATTCAAAATAGCTGTAATCGTTACAATTTTAGCATTTTCAAAGAAGTAAGTTAAGGGCTCTAAAGTGGTAAATATGTTGATTTTGCTGTTACAGTGAAAGAGTGAGCAGGTTGCTGTATGTCATGGCAGATAGCTATCAAGAAGTATCCAACGTACCTGCAGGAAACATTGCTATAGCTGTTGGTCTCAAACAGGTCTGTCACAATCTACTTACAATTCATTCACAATGATTTTCTGCAGATTTAGCCATTCATCCTCCAAGGAAGCTTGAAATCCATTGAAATTATCATTTAATTTAATAATCGTATGACTATTCAAATGATCAATTATTTAAGATTTTATAAGTTTGAATGTTCTTATCAAATGCTATCGCAAATTCTTTTAAAATTGGATCATAGTCAGATTGTACAGTGTGCAGTGGACTTTACATGCGCTGCTATGTGGAAATATCTGCTCTTTTTAGTGTATATGTATATTCTTTTCAATTCAATTCAATGATGCTATTACAAATTGGCGGGACCTACATTACCTCAGAATAAGTAAGTATTTCTGTTTATTGATTTTCTTAAATTGATAGATGTTTTCTAAATTCAAGGACTCAACATGACTAGAAATGTATGTTGTTTCCCCTAATAGACTGTGACTGGAGATACATTAGTGGCATCCAAGGCATCTTATAACATAGCCAAGAAGAAACACTCGCGTCAAGCACCCCTCCTTGAGCCTATCAAGGTCCCAGAACCAGTTTTCTTCTGCACGATAGAACCACCTTCTCAAGCTTACCAAGCAGGTCAGTACAGTGCAAGTCCAAGAAAAGTACAACAAATGTGTATGGTATGAAATAGAGTGTTTGTCAGAGGGTCCCCTATTGGCTGAGGAGCTGACCTTTGACACTCAGTAATTTGTCATATAAAATAGTGAATTTACATTTGATTGGATGGCTTGAGGGTCAATACAAGGAAATTTTGAACAAAATCTGCTGGAATGATGGATGAGTCGGAGACGATTCCAGTATGGTTGCATATCAACAATATTTACTTGTTTTGACCTGAAGAAACTGTGGAGCATGCAATCATCATTTTTGATTTTATGTTAGTGTAATTTGTTTCTGTTAATTGATTTTCATGTATGTATGTTAGATTTTGCATCTTACCGTAACTTGTACATAACACAAATTTCCTTTGCAGTGCATGGGCTATGAACCCTCTGAACTTTTTTTTCTTCAATTTAAAAAAAAACAACACTATGTAGTGCCATGTTTCAAAGACAAGCTTCGTTAACCCTATTTTAACTGGGCTATTTCAGACCAGGTTTTTACTGGGGGGGGGTCAATTTGACCCCCCCCTAAGATCTCGGCCGTTTCACCGCCGGTCGCCGCGAAAATTTGCATGCATGTCAAGTGAAGTGTATAGAATACTATGATAATTTCAAATTTTTGAAAAATTCACTCATTTGCATATTTATGGTAATTTATGCAAATAAGGTCATAAAATTCACATTTCGGCCCATAAATCATAGATTATTCATATTTAAGTATTCTTTTTCACTACATATATTTATTAGACCATTTGGAATAATAATACAACACAAAAAATTGGAAGAGCCAGGTTATTCCTTATGTTATCTCTTGTTTTTATAATTTCTTATGTATTTCATTGTTTTTTTAACTTATGTATTTTATTGTTTTTGTTGTTTTATTTCATTTATAACTACAATTCAACTATTTTGACCCCAAAACAAACATCTAAACTTTAAACAAGACTGAATAACCAATGTTTTATCTATTTTTAGGAAAAATGACTTTTACATATGTTTTGTACACAAATCACGAAAATGAGCGATTTTCGGGCTGACATGCAAAGACAAAAGGTCACGCGACCTTGTAACCGTAGGTCCGATTTTCGAAAAAATTGTTTTAAAAGATGCGTAACACTCGAAAGTAAAAAGTCATGAGAGGAAAATTTTATATCTGCCGCGGTTTCGGAGTAGTCGCGAAATTTCTACAGGGGGGGGTCAAATTGACCCCCCCCCCTAGTTAACGTAGGGTTAAATCTTAATAGTGGCTTGATACTTTGACTAAATCTGGTTAAATCTACCATTGGATTTTTTCCCCTGTAGTTTTGTTCCCTTCAATGTAATAGGAAGAAATGCCAATCCTGTTTGATGCAATGCCAACATGCACAGTAACCTTCTACTTTTTTGGATAAACAGATCTGGAGAAAGCCTTGGGATGTTTACATCGAGAAGATCCTAGTTTACAAGTGAAGACTGATGATGATACTGGTCAGGTATGTTTCCTTGTTTTACATAGATTGAGTTGTTTATCTACCATTTACTGAATATTACTCTGATGTTACGGATCCAACACATTGGAGACCAACACCCAAGACATCAGCTGCCTGATAACTAAACCAGAGGATTGTTTCACAAAGACTAAGATCAACTTTAAGTTGGACTTAACTATGGCAGGCCGTTCATGCTACTGTTTGCTCTCACCATTTACTGGCATTGGTCTCTGAAGAGAAGTATGAATCATGGTCACAATTCTACAGAATTTACATTTTTTGATAGGTCATTATTGAAGGAAAAAATATTATCTAAAGATCAGAATTGAGAGACCAGTAGTGAGAGCGGCAACCAGTGGCATGAATGGCCTGCCATAGTTAAGTCCAACTTAAAGTCGATCTTTGTGAAACACTACCCAGATAGATTATTCTGTTTCCTAAGACACCTTTCCCTAGATCTTTCTGATCTCTGTGTTTCAAATTGTAGGGATATGCAATGCTTTTTCGAACACAGAAAATCTGTGATTTTGATTAAATCTTCATTTAGGATGCCATTATGAGATTGAATTGCAATTTAAGTATTGTGTTGTTTTACTGCTGTCTTTACCTACAATCTTGACCAGCTGATTTTATCAGGCATGGGGGAGCTACATCTGGACATCGTACAAGATAGAATACGCAAGGAATACAAGATTGATGTGGAATTAGGCCCTTTACAGATTAGCTACAGAGAGACCATCACTAATACAGCTACTGAATCAGGTAAGTCTTCTACATGTAGTAATCATTCAAGACTTAATGAAAATTATAATAAGGTGAATTTTTAACGTACCTATTACTATGTTTTAAGGCTGCATGATGCTATTATCCTAGCAGCCATTCGGTAAAACACAGTCTACCCAATACAGAGCTAGGACAACAGCACCACAATTACAATGTTACATAATACATAATATAAAATACTGACATAATATGAACCACAAAATAAAAGTACCTGTATAGCTTTTTTTTTTTAAAGGTGAATTGCTTAGAGGGATTTGAATGAGTGGGTCTTTAACATGGTTTTGAAGGTGTGTAGGGATGGAGCATTTGGATATCCGGTATTGGGGAAGCAGGCCATTCCAAAGTTTGGGAGCCGTACAGAGAGAGCTCTGTCACCGTAGCATCTCTTTACGCGGGGACCAGACATAAGTTGGATGTTGGAAGAAGTGGAAGCATGCAGCCGGGAAGAGGTTGCCTTGGATTTTTATAAGTTCTGAAAGCTATGTTTGAAGTGACCATTATGGATTTTGAAGGCAAGGACGAGAATTTTGAATTGAACAAAAAAAATAAGCTATTCCAAAACGCGTCTTCTGCTCATGCGCTTAAAAATATACATATATGTACATAAATATGTATGAGGTTTGTAACACTTCTCTAAAGCTATGGTCACAAAGGTTCGTACGAATCTCCCTGTTCATAGAGATTCGTAGATGAAGCATACTTTCTTACGTCCTTCTTGCGGAGTATGTACAAAGGCCTTTAGATATTGAAGGAAAACCTTCTTGAGAAGCAAAGTGATTTTTTGGTTATAGAGGTTGTACCTTTTTTGTAAGAATACCTCGAGTTCTTCTTACGTCAGATTTTACTTCTTTTATTTTAATATTTTAATTTTTATTCTTCATTTGAAGGAACCGTGTTAATGATCAGAATTGCTAATAACTATAAGAGATTTTACTGTAAGGATTAAGAAGTAAGAATGATAGACTATAAGACTAGCAATGATTACTCACTAGAGGTATTGAGCTCTCTGGTCAGGGTTCCATCAGGTGTTTCTTGAACTTGCTGTCGGCATATCTGCCACTTCCTTTATTATAAAAGCAATCATTTTTACTGAAGAAGTTAACAAGTTTTTGCTCTGTGGTGGCATCAAAGTCATGTTTTTCCTTTTTTAGTTTACTCGTTTGGTAACTCATCTTCATCGCTATCACCCAGACGTCTTGATAGTTCTCCGTCCTCGTCGTCATCTTCCACCGCCTCCTCCCGGTCGCTTCCGATGGCCATCATTTCTTGATATTGTTGTTGCTGCTCTCCTTGATCGTCTTTCTCCTTCCTCCTCATCTCTTTCCTTACGTTTCTTTTGCTTCCCTTCCCTCTCTTCCCTTTTACAGATTTCCCTTTTGGTCCCATATTTCTTTGACAAGAGATGCTACCTCCGTGGGGAAAGAAACATCTATACATTTGAATACACATGTATCTTAGTAAACCGGTCTATTAGAGATCACTTTTAAAGCTCCAATCATGGTACAATTTTTGTAATTTCTTTGTAATATTTTATTTTTTGAGTTTCTTGTGTGGTGGTGAGGGGCAGGGGATGATGGTCAGATAATGTAGAATCTCGTTATATAATAGCTTTTAGAAAAATACTTATTTTGAGGAATAAAGGTAGATTAATTGCTTCCTAAATATTTTGATAGTATAACTGTTATCTCAATATTCTCCATCAAATATTTGATTTAATATCCTTCGTCAAAAAATGTCCATTGTAAGGATTGGCTGATGTAACATGAAACACTTCCACAATGAAGACAAAATGAACATTGTATGACATCAATGGTTTTTAGGTATGCACAGTTCAACCACATTCTTTTTGTTATAGTATCTAAAAGTTAAATACATTTATATCAAAACCCTGTGAATTGATCAACCTTAACCTGTTGTGTTTTTTCCAACAGCAACTTTAGACAAGGTTATTGGTGACAAGCATCACGTTGCTACGGTGACTGTGTCAGTTGAGCCGTTGGATGATTATAATGGACCAGTCCAGGTTACTACACTTACCAATGATGGCAAGAAAGGCGATGAGATGCATGAAGCAGTCACGGGTGGAGCTCACTCAGCATGTAGACAAGGTACATAGAATATTCAATTCAATGTATTTATTTGTCTAATGTACGATCGACTTGGTTATTTGTTACACTCACATGTAAAAGAAAGGAAATAGGTTACGAGACATGGATACATTTTGGTGATGGCAAAATAATAATCATAAATACATGGATGTAATATTGATTATGTATCATTATAATACCAGCTTTACACCACCCTCAATAGGTTGGGCTCTGTTTAGCAGCTAGCACTATTTTCTCTTTTCTGAAATCGCAATGCTAAGTTTCTCTATTTCATTTCTATCAATGTAAATTCTCTTTATTTGAATGTTTTTATTTATATTGTGTTGTACATGTACCGGGGGTAAATATTTCATGATGCAGCTAGCCACTGGCTTCTTTGAAATGAAAATGAAAACTTCAATCCAATTCAATAGACCAGTTCACAGTTAGTATATATGTCCCCAATGACTCTGAATATCCACAGATCTTCAAAATAATTACTCCTACAGCGATGGAGGTGCTACATACATAGCCTTTGTGTCCCCTTTTAATAATAATAATAATAATATGAATTTATAACGCGCACGTATCCGAAACTTCCGATCAAGGCGCAACAAAATATATAAGCAGATTACACAAAACAGTACAACAGATATTATTTCTACACGTAATTAAACTTAAATCCTAGATAAACAGGAATTCAAATCTTATATAAAGAGAAATTCAAGTATTGGATAAACAGATATATATATACATAATACAGTTCAACATAATATAGTTCTTTAGGTCATGAACTTAAACATCAGATAAATAAATACGCTTTCAACTGTGATTTAAATTGTTCTGTGGATTCTAATTGTCTAAGATGAGAAGGAAGAGAGTTCCAGAGGGCGGGTGTAGCTTTTGTGAAGGACCCATCTCCATACGTAACTGTTCTTGTCATTGGCACGACTAGTCTCGTAGCCTCTGAAGACCTCAGTGACCTCACTGACTGCATTACTGCCATCTCAGAGAGGTACTGGGGGCCTGACCATGCAGAATCTTGAAGGTAGTCAGACAAATCTTGAACACGATTCTCTTCTTTACCGGTAGCCAGTGCAATTGACAAAGGATGTGACTTATTCGCGCATAATTCCCTGCCTTAGTAAGAACACTTGTTGTGTACTCGCTGCAAACGAGAAATGGCTGAGGAAGAGACATCGACCAGGAGGGCGTTACAGCAGTCCAATCTGGAAGTTACCAAGGCATGGATGATCTGTTCTGTATTTACGGATTCTCCTGACATTCTGAAGGTGGAAATTTGCACTTCTGCAAATGGATGAAACTGCTTGTGCATGAATTAATAATGATTACATAACTTTCAGGAGCACGCATCCAGTATTTTGTCTCTGTGTATTTCACAATTTGGTCTGCAATGACCTTCATCTGCTCATGCTCAGACTGCAACTTTGAACTGGCTTATTCAGTTCAGTCATCTCAACTTTTGGATGTTTGTTAAGGTCCGTCATTTCTTTCTTATTTATTTATTTCCACTGGCGGGAGTGGAATAATTCATTTTATGCTATTAGAATTGAGTTACCTTTATCAAATTTTCAGATTGACTGTATGCAAGACAGTTTGAGTCCTGTTTCTCCAGATAGTTAATGTTGGAGTGTTTTTAATAAAACTTTGTTTCTCTGTACAGGTCCCCTTCTAGGCTTCCCAGTTCTTGGTGTAGCTGTGACCATTGACAAGTATTCCGTAGCCCCTGGGACATCACCTACCATGTTAGCAGCATGTGCATCTCAGGCAACTCACAATGCTTTGCAGCAAGCTTGTGGCAATCTTCTTGAACCTGTCATGAACATGGAGGTAAAAGTCATTGTTGGATGGAGGAGTTTTAAAAGTGGAAATCCACCCTGTTATAAATTGGTTTTAATAGAAGCCAAAAAATGAGAGAAACAGGTCAGTAAAAGTTAGAGCAAAAAGCAATTAAAAATTAAAAGTTGTAATTTTTGAAGGTGCAATCAATCAAACAGAAATTGGCCACTCCCTTTTGTCCTTTAAATTTTCAATCGTATATTCACCCAAAACATAATTATTGCATATATATATAATACAAACATACACTGTCTTGAGAGGTTTTGGTTAAAACTATGGGCAAGAGGTAACTTCAAAAGTATCAAAAAGTACAAGTGGAGTCACAGGGGCCCCGGGCATAGTTTTACCCAGAACCTCGAAAAGAAGGCAAGGTATATTTGTTTTAAATCCTGCATCAATAATACTTTTTTTTTTAAATTAAAATTTATCCCCCCCCCCCCCATAAAAAATTAACTCCCAAATAGTACTTTTTCAGCACAATCTTAAAATGGTTGAAATGTTTCTGGTCACGTAAAGAGCTCTCAACCAATCAAAAACAAATACTTTTTTGATGCAGGATATAATATAAAATATGTGTTAATGAATGTTTCAGATCACTACCAGTGAAGAGAGACTGCAAGTTGTTTTGGGTGATGTAGCCCGAAGAAGAGGTCAAGTTTTAGCTGTTGACAATAGGATGAAAACCAAGGTCATTACAGCAGCAACACCTCTGGCTGAAATGATGGTAAGCTATTGCAGTTCCTTTTGTAGTTACGGACTTGTTAAAATAATTACTCATTATTCTTAAGTATCATTTGAGGTGTTCACACTTGTACAAGCATTGCTTTTTAGTGGACCCCTCTGTTTCCAATATGTATTTCTACATTTGTTGTAAATGTTTATAATTGATTTGTAATGTTTTGATGGAAACATAAATAAATTAGAATGAAATTGAATTGATCATGGAGAATACATTGGAGTTATTTCACATGCGATTCATTCCAAGCCAAAGGTTGTCTCATACTTGTTAATATGCTGGAGACAGATATTTGCAAGAACACCTGTAAGTTTTTTTTTTAAATATTGTAACATTTTGTTTGTCAGCAGATGATTAGACCAATATTTTTATGTCTCCAAGGTGAGGAATATCAATTTTGTTTTATTGTGACCTTTCCAAACACTGCAACACAGCATTCATATAATCATCAGGCAAGGTTGTATCCATAAGTGGTGATGAAGATACATGGACATATTTAAACTTTTACCTGCTGTGAACAATGTATGAAACATTTGTTTTTATCTTATTTCTTTAGGGCTATTCCACAGCACTGAGATCTCTTACTTCAGGCACAGCTTCATGTTCCTTAGAGTTCTCCAACTATCAACAGATGTCATTTGCTGAGCAGGACTCGGTCATCAGGAAACTCACAGGTATCTCATGATGGTCCACCTGTCAACTGATTTACGGGACTGTCATGATGATCCATGTATCAACCGATTCTCAGAACATGAAAAAAATCATTCAGGAACCTAGAATTGGCTTTTGGACATGGTCGTACGTACATTGGACATGCATAATCCATGTTCTGCGCTTGATGTTCTGTTATGATAGTCCACCGATGAAGTGATTCACATGACTGTATTAATGGTCCATGTATCAACTGATTCTCAGGACTGTTAAAAACAAAACTGAGGATACTAAAAAATGGCTTTCGGACATGGACATATGTACATTGCGCATACACAATACATGTGCTGCGCTTGTGCCGCCGTACATCGGAAGTATGCAAGTCCTGGAAGTGGCTCGAAATTAGGTCCAAGAGGCTGCCTTCGGGCATTGTGGGCGTATTGGCAATAGGGAGAACCGCAACTTAAGATTGCATCAGAGAATTACATATATTTGTTAGTGTAACATCTTTGTCTTTAAAACATTACTCAGTAATGATCAAAAAGAGAAAAGTGGTTTACGGGCGTTGAGTTTCATGAATGACACTAAACCTGACAAAAGGTCTTCAAAACTGATTAGTGTGATGCAATAAAAAAACATATTTTTTGTGAAAATTTGTGTACTTTATTCTTCTTGATTTGTGTCCTGCCTATGTACCGGTAGTGGAAGTGAAATATAGGTGAGCTGCAATTGTGTCCAAAAAGTTTGCAGAATTTTTGTGTGTGCGGTGTATTAAATGAAAGTGTAAAAGGGCGAGGAGTGATCCTCAAGGGGCTGTCGCACTGTAACAGCACCAAGATTGTATACATTCAGCCACCTTGCTGGCCTTATATGAGGATATTCAGGAATCTGGCTTCTGGTGGTTGCTCAAATATTGCAACTTTAAAGGTAAAGACCAGTATTGGAAACGCCCCAATTTCAAAAAATGAAATGGAAGCTCTTTATTACCAATCATGTGAAAGAATATGTTTTGACTAATACATGATGATAACAATTTTGGCGGGAAACCGCCTACTAATTGATATATTTGGTAAATTAGTTTATCTATTGGACTGTGAGAGATAAATGCGCGTGTCGCGCACGTGTGCGTAGTCCCATATACATCTTTCTGTGTACAACGTTTCTTTCACAATGCAATCGCATGACCACAACTGGTCTTTATCTTTAAAAATCCTCATACACCTCCATGTAATGTACAGACAATTAACCGAACAGAAAATGCACATTAGTTTCTAATAAATTAATTTTCATGAAATTGACATTATTCTGTGATCTGTATTTAGTAAATTTTCTATGGCGACACCCCTAGCGATGCCTTGTAGCACCCAGGTTGAGACACCCTGTATTACCCCTTTTGTAATGAGCCAATCTTGTAAAAGACTTGTATACATACAAAAATACTTCATACATAAAACATACTTCTTCCAAGTATATGTTATTACTACTTCTGCACTATACTATGGTTTAAACCTTCATATTTTCTTTATATTTTGAATGCTGTTATGTAAATTTATATGTAATTTTGATATTGTAACATGTTATGAAATTCCATATTTTATCTTTGTATATATTGTCACGATGATGGAAATAAATTTCAATTCAATTACAGCGATACAAACTGCAAAAATCCAGGCTCAAAGCCTTATGTGATTCAGGCCTGTTCTCAAGCAGTTTTGTGTGTGCTCATGTTTTGTTTGGGTTTTTGCCCAGGTATACATGTACATGTAAAAAGTTTCAATATATACTGTACAGGTAATGATGAAAGCATGTTCTTTGTCTTAGTCATTTTGACTTGGTCACAAACGAGAAATTATAGAGATAAGTACAAACAAAGATGAGTCTTATAAACAAACGTTTATTGTCCCAACTATAAAAAATACATCATTTTCATATACATGTATAAGAATTATGAATTACATTTGAATCACAACTTTGAACTTACAACCTCACTAAGAAATTTGAATTCTTTACCTACTCTGATTAAAATTCATTAAAAAAAATCCAGCCCAAGTCTGGTTGTATTAAGGCAGCAGTGAAAGTACATGAACGATCCTACATGTGTGGTAGACCAAGATGGTTTGGCGACGTGTTTACCTGGCACCAAAAAGAAAAGGCGTCTTCCATTCAAACTACTATGTAAGCCACAGGGGACACGTATAATTCATTCAGGTGATCTACATTTACATGCAAAGGGGAAATTGCATTTCCACCATACATACAACATAAGACATCCTTAGACAAAATGTTACAACTGTATTATTATTATTATTATTATTACAACAAAACAAACTTACAGATGAGAAAGAAAACAAAAAGGTAGAAGTTTTTAAACTACAATATAAAACAAAGACAATACAGTTTAAAGTAAAATAACCAGTTTTTAGCTGTCTTCATTTCAGAATGACTTGGCTAAGATCAATGGAGATGTATTTCAATCATATCAAAGCCTACAAAGCGGAAGTGGTTAAAGATAAACTCCAGTTCTGGTAAAAAAAAAAAAAAAAGTTAATTCCCACAGAATCAAACAATACTTACACTGAATGTTCAAAATTACAAATAAATGATATGTGCCTAACAATTTTGGAAGAAAATGTATACATTAACTGACAGTTTAAAAAAGAAGAAAAAAATACAGAATAAACTCTATCATGGCATTTATTAATCAGCCTCCAACCTTTCACACTTATTGTAATAACGCTACATTCCAAGTACGCCCTCTTATTTTATCTATACTTTTAATAACATTTAATATGTTTAAAGTGTACTATTCTACCGGTAATTATCATTATCCATTGATCCAATGTATAAGTTATACAATGTCTTCTGCTTTAATCCTCATAACACCTACCGGTATACTTAAAATTGATATTGCAATAAATTTTATTTTTGAAAGCACATTGAAATCATGAATTTAATGTTAAATTCCTTACTCATAATAATTTGTTAATAAAACCTGAATCAATATTTTTTTTTTTTTTTTAAGGATTACTACAGCGTATACCGGTATTCAGTCTTCATATTCGTAGGGGCACTAGTTTGGTCCCAAGGATGACTGTAGCGTGCGTGAATTCATTCTTCATATTCGTAGGGGCAGAAGTTTGGTCCAACAATAGGCTCAGCTTGAATTCCACGTCTGAAACATTAATGAGGAATTCAAAATAAAATTATCCCACACATCATACATGTATAAAATATATGGACAGACTAGTGTCTAGTGCAGAGCATCTACCAAAGTTGAATTTTGAAAGATCCTCCAAACTAATTAAACATTTCAAAATTTCTGGATATTTTCTAAAGAAATACATTGATTTAAGAGAGTAAATGAGTATTAAAAGCATCTTTTACTTGATTGACTTTTTAGACACTTGATGTTGTTCTTCTTATGATTCAGTTTTTGAAGAACTAACACTTTTGGACCCTTATTTTCATGGTATGCTATGCTACATGTATGTATGTCACATTCTTTTCTTAATTTTTTTTTTTTGTGTGTGTGTGTGTGGAAAATCTGATTTTGTAAGATAGCCAGTCTGGTTATCTTTTCTTTCGAGAGGTTGGCTTCTCCGCGCATGACCAATCTTTAGTAAGAAATTCTTATGGTGTAGTGGTTCCGACTCTCATCTTTCAATCATAAGGTCATGAGTTCGAATCCCACTCCAGGACGTTCATTTACTTCAGCAAGAAATTTATCCACATTGTGCTGCACTCTACCCAGGTGAAGTAAATGGTGACCTGGTAGGAATTTATTCCTTGAAACGCAGAGCGCGTGACAGCTGCTCTGCTAAAGCCAGGGTAATATGTCACATTATTGTAGAGCCCTTAGAGACTTCTGATAAAGTAAGTGTTAGGCGCTATATAAGCACATATAACTATTATTATATATTCTCATGTTTTAATCATTGCTCACTTGACCATGCGACATCTTTGTTCTACAAGTCTATGAGAGGCATCATCCAATGATGTCACATTCACAGAGCTCCACAGACGCTCACCTACTGCACTGGCCCGAGGCCTGAGAAAGAAAACAAAGTGTGTTTTATTAAACATCCATCTGTGATTTAAAAAAACATTACACACAGATACCACATCAAATAAATTTTCTCACTCATCATTATTAACTGACATGCATTCTATTCAAATTCAAATAAAAGCAAATAATTTGATTTTATAATGCATTATGGACTATAAATCTCAGTAAACGTTTCAAACAGTACTTCTATAAATGGCTCGACCAACGATCAATGATCTTTTACTGAAAATATATGCCTTTTTTATTACCCTGAGTCTCACATGTACTTGGCAATCTAAACATCAATGATAGTATGACAAAATTATACTGACTATGAAAGTAAGAATGAGCTACAAGAGCTGTCTTCTACCAAATATGTTGCTGACTATGGATCACATAGTTCACGTTTTGTGTCCAGTCATGGTACTAATGTACTTTGGCAAGACATTCTTTGATCTTGGATTCTTTTCCTCCTCTACACCAATGTGTGGTACAATAAACGGGTACCTGGTAGGGACTGAACTCCTTGAACATTTTGAGTGCCTTAGGGCAGCTGGGCTGAAGCCAAGGTAATAATAGTACTTTTTAGGTGCCTTAATTAGGAGATTCCATCATTTTCTCGTACAAACACACACAAAAAGGGATCTCACCAAGTTCTCTGGATGACGTTGGTAGAGTCTACATACTCTCCCCACATGCACACCTCACCACCAATCACCAACTTCTTCTGAGCATCAGTACCTACATAAAGTAGCACAACAAAATAAATAGGGGAAAATATTACATTAACTTTAATTACTCCACCGGTACATTGTAAACATTTACATTTGTTTTGTACTTGTTTGTATTCAATGTTAAATAATGTACTTTTTGGAGAAATTTAACTAATCAAAGATCTCCCCTGACTCACTTGAGAAAGCAGTATGAAGTCGCACAGAATGGAGGCGACTTGTTGCTACAGCAGCCAACATGGCAGAAACAGAGCGCTGTCAAGGTGCTGAGAGCAAGAGAGCAAGAGAGCTCCCAAGCCAAGCATGCTGCAGAACTCTGATGTCCTAAATGTACTGACAAACCTTATGCTTGCAGAATTGGACTTGGAACCATGCAAGAAGACATACTAAAGAGTTTTATCATGTCATCATTAACGATGGACAGCCAATGATGATGGAGAAATCAAGAGCTAACACAGATATGGAACATTGTATGTGGGACTTCATGTACCTCATGGATTTAGTAGTCCGCCCTGAACTCAAGTTGGTTTAAACAATGGCAGAATAATAATAATAATGGTTTATTTATTCAAAAATATGCATTGTAGCCCAGGGCCGGTATTCAATTCAATACTTAGCATAAGTAAGAAATTTACTAAGTAAATGGCTAAGTTAAGTAATTAACTTATCTCGTATTCAAATCTCATTATTATAGACTTATACTTACGTAAGTCAAAATTTAAGTAAAATACTTACTGATAAGCATTGTGACGTCACACCGTCAATCAAAAGTAATGCGCAATATTGATGCATTGCAATAAATGCGCGTTGATATAATTGTGCGCGGGATATAATACTGCGCAAGAAAACCATATGCCTGCCAATCAAGGCCACCAAATAATTGGCTTATGTCTGGTATGCAGTTGGCTTTGATTGAAAGTAAAATACTTACACAAAAGTGTGAATTGAATACCAAAATTGGCTAAGTATTTTATGTACGCTAAATACTAAGTAAAAAGCTTAAATTTTGTACTTAAGTATTGAATTGAATACGGGCCCAGGGGCTGAATTGTGGAAAGGAGAAAGTGAGAGAGAGAGAGAGAGAGAGAGAGAAGAGGAGGGGAGAGAGAAGAGAAGAGGGTAGAGGAGAGAGAGAGAAGGGGAGAGAGAGAGAGAGAGGTAGAGAGAGAGGTGAAGAAAAAAAATTAGTAGGTAGTCATCAACATACAACAATACTATAAAATAATACAAATATTGGCGAATGTGGCAAGGTAAATTAGAAGTAATTAAGTTTGATACAGTAAATATGGGATAGATATCGACAGAAAATGTGATCGTGCATGTACAAAACCAGTTGCTTCCAAGTTTACAAAGTGTTAGAGTATGACATTGTTAAATTGCTAAGGTGAAAGACTATATGTCAAGAACTCTACCGGTAATATGTATAAACAAATAATTTGATATTAAATTGGTTAAAGAATTTATCAATATAAAATTTCATGATGAAAGAGATGAAGGAAAATATGGTTTCGATAAAGATTCAAGAGGTTGAGGAGGGGAAAGTATGGTTAAATTTAACAAATCAAAAATTCAAGACATAACACCAATAACTTCCAGAGATACGCACTATCACATACAGAGAAAGAGATCATCAAGGATCATATTTCATTTAGAACTCTTTACTAGAGTTTTAAGCATGATCATACATTTATTGTTTGCTCCTTTCTTTCTCTCATTCTATCTATCTGTCTATCATTTTATCTATTTAGCTCAATCTTCTTACTCTTCTTCTCCTTCTTTTACAGTTACTTTTTTTCTGCTTCTTTTTCTTCTTCTACTCTCTCCCTCCTTCCTTCTCTTCTAACTATTCCTTGCTTTTCTATTCCCCATTCCCTTTTCTTTATTATTCTTTATCTCATATTCAGCTTGTACTTTTCTATCATACATTTTTTAATAAATACCTCAATAAGCTGTATATAAACATCAGACTATCATTTTTTTATTTCAAAATTACCCTCGTCACAATTTTAGCACGCTGCCTGTACTTTTTGCAGTATTTTTTGAGAAAATTATGTTAAAGACTAAGTATATTATTCTTTGTAACATATTTTTCTTTAGTTTCTACATATGGTATACTATTTAATGTTGTTCTCAACTGACATTCATATCAATTATTCCTTTGAACGTAAAATTATGTTTCCTGTTCTTTTTTATCATTTTGATTGTAAATTATGCACAATTTAACATAACGTTGTGACGCACGATTATTTTTTTTAAATACCATTTTGAATTAAAGTTAAGATTTTGCACGTAGTGCATGTAATCACTTTTATGTTACTTTCTCTATTCTGATTCATGCATAAAATGCCCTCCAAAATTCTATTTTCATAATATGTATATGTATTCTAACTTCACCAAAAAAACATGCTATTATTAGAACGGCAAGCATGAGATTCGCAATAAGTCTGATAGTACAATAAGAGGTTTGGCAATGCAGGAATGTTAAATTAATTGAGAGAGTTTGATACCGAGCACCTACCATTGAAATTAGCTGGGTCTACCAGATAAAGGTTGTGCCACTGATGAGTGTATGGATCAGTGACCCGATTGAGATAATATGGGGATGAGATGAGAGTGCGATAACCTTTCTGGGTCACATTATGAGCCTCGCTCTGCCAATCTCCTTTCCATACATGTACAATAGTATCAGGTCTCACCTTAAAGGATGCAAGCAATACATTATTACCTTTTCAATATTACATTAGTCTAAAAACAAAATGAAAGAAAAAAGAGATTCAAGGAGGATGTACATGTAGTAACCAGAGAGTATTAAAATGCATCACCATTGAAAAGTGTTGGTTCCACAACGTAGTACTTTCTCCAATCATCACCGTAGCTTATGTAGTTAAGATACCAAGGGGTAGAGAGAATGGTTTTGTACCCCTTTGCTGTAACGTTGGCGAGCTCACTAGGGTAAGGGCCCTTCCAGACATGTACTACAGTGTCTGAGCGTACCTGAAACATATCCAGACAAGAATCGTCAAGGTGAGAAATATGCCTCTTTTGAGAGTGGGCGTGTTGGTTTACCATTTCAATTTCACCCATATATTCCATGGAACTCAAATACACAAGATGGATTTATCAATGGCTGTATTAAGTTGAATAATGTGAACTTGTTGATATTAAACTAACACACTGTGTGTAATATACATATATGCATATATTAATAATTTTACATACCTTGAATAATGAAGAACTCTGAATTACAAGAAAGCAACAGAAGTGAACAGTCTTCAAGAAGTGTTAACAAACTAACCTTGACTTGATTATCTATGATCTCTTGCCACACGGTGTATCCAGTCTGTAGATCTGCCATGATATCAAGCAATCTTTGCTCATAATACTGCTCTAGCATGCTGTAGTTCTTCCCATACTGATGCTGTGTCATGAAGTCAGTTATGGCTGGGTTGCTTGCCCTGTTCAGATTAAGATTTAGAGTCAGCCCACATGCATACATCTCTTGTTTTTGTTGCTGTTATTGTTTATTATTATGATGATATTTATTATTATCATCATGATTATTATAATTATTATTATCATTAGGATTAATATTAGTGATATTACTGCTACTCTCTCTCTCTCTAAGTGCCATATCGATTAACTTTGGCAAAGATGCTGTTCCATAACCCTCAGCTCCTAGCCTTCTCTATTAGTACCACTCCCAGTTCTTTCACTCCTCTCTCTTCCAACAATTTCTGCAGACTGTCCATCCAAAGTATCCTCCTTCTTCCCCTACTCCTCCTTCCCAAAATTCTCTTGGCCTTCTCTACGTGTAATTTGACCCATTAACTTCAACTGCCTGATCAACATCGCAAGTATCATAAAAAAACGCTTTTTAGTATCAGAGGCTACTCCTACTACTAAAGCCAATTTCTTGAGAAGTTTGTAGAGCCCCAACAATAATGATGAGATCTTACCAGCAAGAAAAGCTGACTTCATCTCCTCCCATGTGAACATAGTGGTCAGGGAACAGATCAACGACTTCCTTGAAAAATATTTTCAGAAAGTCATAGTTGGCATCAATAGTGGGGTTGATAGGACCGTATCCACCTGTAGGGGTCGTTCCGGAGTAGCACGGGGTGAGAAGGTCTGGGATGGACACCCAAGACTGGGTGTGGCCAGGGGTGTCAAACTCTGGCATCACACGAATGCCTCGCAGACGAGCGTACTCAATCACTGCTTTGACGTTCTCACGTGTGTATACATGATTTTGGTCGTAAGCATTCTATACCATAAAAAAACATAGGATTATAAAAGTAAAACAAAATGATTTATATTAAAGTTGTAAGGCCCTGGAAAATAGGCCTCCCTCAAAATTTTGTATACATAATATCCTGTTAGTATTGTCATATATTTTACACACCAGTATCTTAAAAAGTTTACACATTCTTCAGTGCTTGCTGCAAAGATGCAGAAACCCAACCCCTGTTTCCAAGAAGTGGTGACTCATATTGTGCCCTCTCCCAAAAACGAAACCAAATCGAAGGCGTTGGTCATGTCAGTGGTTTCTGCCTGATAGCATCAGTTCTATACCTGATGCTTCACGGGAAACACTTATTCTGACCAGCCTCTTCATTTCTTTTCAGGTAAGAAAATACAACTTTTAATCTCTTTCAATTCTGTCTGTTTAAGTTAATTATAATTGTTCGATTCATATATTACATTGTTGTGCTGCAACTCGTGTTTAATGATGAAGTGAATGTTATTAGTGATATTAGAACCAATTAAGTGTATTTTATCAAACCAGACTGATCATGAGAGATGCAGGCTTAACATATGTATCTACGTGACATGGTGTCTATTGTATGGTGTTAGTTATGTTTATGAAGCATTTAGATTATATAATGGTTCTATGATTATGTAGTAGAAGTAGTAAATTTTTATATATTCATACTAAGTCAGGTTAAACCAATTAGTGTGAACGCACCTCATAATGTGTGTATGCTTAATGTGAGATGTTTAGTGACGAGTTCATACACCACTATACAAGAGTAGTAGTAAAGTTAATCCTGATACCAATTCAATAGTCTGTGCATTGGGAGAAGTTTCTCTGGTCTTTATCAGAGATAACTGTGACATGCTATGACTAATGACTTGTGGTCAGCAGTAGTCCACCAACTGGAGAAATGAGGGAATATTGTAGAAAAGAGAGAATTTGGGATCATAGTTGAAGATTGAGAGTTTTGTTAGAATTGAGAAAGTAACTTTGTAGTATTTTAGAAAAGGATTTAGGGTTACTGCAACTATAGACAGGTCGGGATATTGGAGAAAGTTGGGTTATTGTGTAAAAAGACACAAACCTACTTTTAACTGGTTCACCTTGGTCTATAGTTACAGTTAGCCGTGTTCAGATTAGAAGATAAGCAGTCAGATGCCTATGCCAATGTTGTTTATGAATTTAGAGTTAGCTGTGTTTATATTCATATTTAATCCGTATTATTTGTATTTAGTTTCATTAGTGGAATATGTTATTCCATGTTTATTTTTATGTTATTAAAGGAGTTCTATACCTGATGCTTCACAGTAAACACTTATTCTGACCAGCCTCTTCATTTCTTTTCAGAATTTATATTATTTACCCCGGCCCGGGTAACAAAGTCATTCGAGGGAGGAAAAAAAATATTACTTGATTTTGTTAATGTTTTAATGTTTTGTACACCTACATGGTTGATGTCCAGCAATTGCAAAGAAGTTTATGATGAAATTGCAAACTGCTAGATTTATTAAATTCTATTAAATTTATTTTACACATTCATTGCTTCAATCTGAGATGGTTTGCTTTAATTCAGACAATTTTTTTTTAGCCCAAAATCTATTCAGATCGTCTTCCTATGGTAATACATACCATCACCAAGTTTGAAGTTAATACCTCAAATGGTTCTTGAAATATATAGCCATAACGAGTGGAGATGTTGCACATATTATTTGCAAGAATGAATAAGATAACCACTGTATTGAAGTATGACATTAAGCACTATTATTCCTATGATTTATTGGACCGAAGGTGCTTCAAACAAAATTAAGACTCTGACGACTGGACTATGGGCATGACAAACATTCTATAGAAATTATACTAAAATCATCAAATTTCATGGTAATTTACCACTATGACATGTGACCTTAGATCTACCAAAATACAAAGCAGTTCGTCTCCATAAGTTTGAAGTTGATTGCCCACATGGTTATTGAGATATCTTGATAACAGAGAGCCCAAAAACATAATATGCCTCCACCCTATGCCTCTGGCCAAATCTTCAGCAGGGTGTAGGCATAAAAACGACAAGTTAGCTTATCCCCAAGTACATTGTATCTTTATAATTGCAAAAGATAACTAACTGTACATAAAAGTATCAGGTATAAAAATCCAACTCACCATGCGGCTTAAGGAAGGATATGCTTTACTCTCGTAAGGGAAGGACTGGTCATCTACAATGTGCCAATGGAATACATTGAACTTGTTATATGCCATAGCGTCCTGGTAAAAACAAAACAAATAACAACACATCAATGGAACACATTCAAATGATTTTGTATGCCATAACATATAATTTACTACAATATAATCATGTTTTAGATGTACCACCTAAAAATGTTGAGACACAGAATCCTTGTGAAAGGAAATATAGTTGTGTGCAACTTGGACACATTTAACTCAAATTTATATCCTATAGTATTACATTGATTCTAGCACATTGTTAATGCTTAAGGAATAAATGTAGAAAACAGTATAACAATAAACACCGTACATGGAACCCAAGTTAGACTTGGGTTCCATGCAAGCCTTGTTTCAAGCTAACACGTACAGGTGAATCGACTAGTCTACTTACAAGTCAATTTCATGCTTATTTAGAATGTCAAAAAATTGCACTATCAAAAGCCAGGGTAATAATCGGGAGCGCCAGGAGGGTCAAATCTGACTGACTGACATGAGCGCTATACAAGAACCCACTATTATTATTGTTATTATATCTTGAAGATAGTATACTGAAATGGAACCCCGTAATTTACTGAGAAACTATTTTCTGGTGATTGATATACTTTAAATTCATATAAATATTTTTGTGGTTCAATGAAATATTATATATATATATTTACCAGAGATTTGAAAATGGAAGACATACTAAGAAAATGTCTTGATGTGTCTACCAAGTATCCACGAAAACTGAAGCGTGGAAAATCTGTGATTGACGTCTTGTTGATGACAAGCTGCAGGAAAACAAATCAAATAAATAATATCCACAGGTATGACATTTTTCAAATATTAGTATACTGTAAACATAAAACATGGGCACTTCAGGCACATTTTTATAAAAATCAGTCGTTCCAACCGTTTTGAGTATTCAATTTTCACCAAAGAAGTGAACACTATTTCCCTGTTGCATGTCAGAGATTAAACGTTCATTTAGTTTGATGAATGAAAATGAAAGTCATGGATTCTTTCCCTTAAATTAAAAAAAAAAATGTAATATTTTGTTGGAAATCTGCCTGCTCCTCTGGACTGGAAATGTCATCAATAGTAGAACGTCAATGACGTAGCGCTCATCCGCATCTCGCAACAACAAATATCGTAAATTTTATGGGGTATACTTTTGAACTGGTCAAAAAATTAAAAACTTTGATGCCCTGGAAGGGACATAATTTCATTTAGCTATATCAATATCGGTCAAGAAATGAGGGAGAAGAAGCATTTTTTGTGATTTTTGGAGTAAATTTGCATAAATTACCATAATTAATTAGTGGAGAACAATTTCAAAATTCTGTGTAGAGGTTTAGTGTTCCAAATTTAGCTCTACAATATAAAGCAAACCAAATCAAAATCGGTCGAAATATGAAGGAGAAGAAGCATTTTTTGTGATTTTTAAATTATTTTTGGAATAAATTTGCATAAATTACCATAATTAATCAACGAAGCAAAATCTCAAAATTCTGTGTAGAGGTTAGGTGTTACAAATTTAGCTCTTCCAGATAAGGCAAACTAACTCAAAATCGGTCAAGAAATGAGGGAGAAGAAGCATTTTTTGTGATTTTTAGAATAAATTTGCATAAATAATCATAATTAATCAATGGAGCAAAATCTCGAAATTCTGTGCACAAGTTTAGTGTACCAAAGTTAGCTCTAACAGATAAAGCAAACCAAATCAAAATCGGTCGAGAAATGAAGGAGAAGAAGCATTTTTTGTGATTTTGAATAAATTTGCATAAATTAGCATAGATAATGAATTTCACGATTCTGTGTAGAAGTTTTAAATCCCCCTCCTAGCCCTATCATATGAAACAATCAGAATCAAAATCGGTTGAAAAATAACGAAGAAAAAGCATTTTGAAAACTGTGGATGCATGGACGCACGGACGGACAACGGACGCCACGGCATGCCATAAGTTCATCAGGCCCTTCGGGCCGGATGAGCTAAAAACTGATCGCATTGGTTTGAGGAGTGGGTAAAAGCTTTGAAGAACAATTTGGACAGGAGACTTTGTTTATCATACACTCACCTGACCATCTTCATTATCATAAATGAGTTGACTGAAAGTTTCCAAACCTGTAAGAAGTATGAATAATGAATAAATGTAGATAAATGTAGCATAAACCTTATCCATGATAAAAAGATTGTTGGTCATGTCATACCAGAAAAACTCTCCTTGTTGTTACAAAAATGGTTTGAAATAAACATTTTTCCCTAATCTAATTTAAAAAAACAAAATTTAGCTACGGTACATTATGGGCATATCTTACATGTCCTTCCAAAAAAATTATGTTGGTTTTAATTTATCAATAAAAAAAACAAATATAAAAAACAGCAGAGTTTCTTGATATAAAAGAAAAGGAGGTTACCTGGTATAACATCACACTAATAGGCCATTTTCATAATGTACAGTAATAAGTATTTGTTACATGCCTCCTTACAAATTATTTAATTCACCTGCTATGCTACAATAGCTGTATTTCAATAGTCAGAATACAAATTACCATAGTGTTTGTCCTACCTAGCAACAATTTATATATGCAATATAATTGGCCAAAATGACCAAAATGTTGTGAGCAGGGTTAATAAGATTAATATTTTTGGAATCAGCGCAAAATTTGTCCATGACTTTGGTTGGTTTTACTTCATAGAGACATTTTGAATGATACTCATATTTGGAATTAATTTCGATTTAATCAGAATTAAGCAGAAATGTATCAAAATTACCCCTTAATGAGGTACCCATTTGAGACACTTTTAAGGCTGTATCTCCAGAGCTACCAAGTATCACGCATTAGGCGTGACATCACGCATTTCGAGGGTCTGAAAATGCTCTTACACACGACGCGCGCTAGATTTTGAAAAAACGCTATACCTTATACGTGTGTTATACCCTCGCCCGCAGAATCATGAAAATGTCAGGCATTGCTGATCTTTGAATTTGGCGTCTCTGTATCTCAATAATGTCTTCATGATGAGGCACAGGAACGGCAGAATGACATTGCTATCATGCATTACCACTGCACATTCACTTTCTGTGGTCGTCGAATTATGAACTTATTCACTGCGCATCCCAAACTTGCTAATGCCAAAACTTCTCTCAATTTTTCCCCGTTTAATTTGGTGGCATCACACATCAACATCACAGAATCAAGGCACTTCATCATCAATTCAATTGTACATCCTGTATAATCTGCCAGGTATGTGCATTTAATGATCTTGAGTTGAGAGTGCATCTGTTTGAACCTTCTAGAGGATACATACCTCTTAAGGCTCCCCACACAGAGGTGGCAGCTAAAGAAGCACTTGTGTCCGAGATCGTCAGAGAGTCTGTAAAACAAGGAGTTACCCAATGAAATACGGTAGGCAAGAAAAATAATCATAACCAATGGCCTGCAACATCTTGAGCATCACAAGACTCCATCATCAAATCTCTTAAAATGATGAAATGAACCTCCATGATACATAAAAACCTAAACTGATTGATGAGGAAAAAGCAAAACGTGGGGCTTCAAATAACAAACAAATAGCCTCTAGATGAGGTTCAGTTTTTGCAGCACAATTGATTATATGTTCTAACTTAACAATCTATACCACAATACCCTTTTTGTTCGATTTTGTTCGACTTTCACATTTTTGTTTGTTTCATTTTTCTCTATTTATTCAATTCAGCTTGTAAATGGGTTAGACTTGCCCTTTAATAATCCTTGTGTAAAAGTATATGGATATTTAAATGAAAACAATGTTTAAAAAAATGCTGATGCCACTATTCACAAGCAAAATTCAGGGAATACAAAATTGGGAAAACACAGATCTCTACACAAGCTTACAAGATCATAAAATACCTTAGTATGAATGTACAAGTAATTGACTTGAAACTTACAAGTAATTGACTTGAAACTTACAACTCTCATCAGATTCCAGCTGAGGATAATCAGGACATGGCTGTTCCACTGCAACATTGAGTCCTCTTAGCTCGGTAGCAGCTGAGCGGAATCGCAAGTGTGTAGGAGCATGTCGGGGTCTCTTTGAGGCTCGTGGCTTATTAAAGAAGATGATACCAAGATAGCGCTTAAAAGCACTGTCTAATATATCACACTGCACCTTGCTAGCTGTGAACCTGCAAATTAAGGAATGACAAATATTACCCATCATACTCACTACAATGTACAAGGTGCATTCCAGAAGTTTTTAGATTTTTTCAGAAAAGACAATGGGAGGGGCTCAATTCTAAATATAAATATACCAACATATTTGACCCAGTAATTAGAGAGATATATGGCAATTTGACTTTTTTTTGTCAAGGTCAGTTTTGGGGAAACATGTCTGTGGAATGCATGCCATGCAAATGGCGTAAATCAAGAAGAAATACCATTCTAACATTTGAATCTTCCACACTATCAACACTATTAAAACATGAAACCAGCAAAAAGGTTGCCATTGATGTATTTCTTTATAAATAGTTTTTAGTTTTTCATTTTTTGACGAGGGTCCGGGATATAAATACAATAATACCATGCACTCTTTTCAAAGCACTGTTAATATAATGGATCTTCATTGACTGGCATAGAGTGCTATTCCAGTCATCTATGAGAATCCATAATTTCAACCAGAGCCCCTCAGCTCAGTGCATAGTATATTTGATTACTGTGAGGAAGATGTCATTTACTTACATGAACTGACTTTCTCCCACTAGATTGTAAACAACAGGCATGACTGTGATAGATTGAGGCATGGGCCAAGGGGAGCCTTGAGTAGATGAAGTGACTGCTTTCAGAGGCAGAGGCACACCATCCTGATTCTCACTCAGAGATGCAAGACACACACTACAGAGCACTAGTACCCATGCTATCTGCATCCAAACACCTGCCATCTTTTCTCTAGGAATAGGAGAAAGAAGGGGGGAAATGCCAATCATAAAACAAAATAATTTTGAGGATTTGATAGGTTATTTTACATATATATTCACATTTACAGGAGAACTATTCAATGAATGATAATTATGAATTGTTAAATACATACAGTCAACAGTTTCCAATTGCAGTATGTCATAATTTGTGGACATCAGACTACACTGTAGGTGGACACATACATGTAAGTGGATGCACCATCGATGGGCGTATACAGTACACTGTATAAATCTTGCACACAGTGAACTGGATGTTCTAACTACCATATACCCTCCAGTCTCTCAGAGAGTCCCCAGGTGAGGGACATTTATGGGACTGTTGGTTGACCTAATGATTGGCATTTAATATTTGACCATTCTCTACTAAAGTGTTCAATTCCGGGAGCACAAATGACAAAATATTGACCATGACAATTTTTTAAGAATCACTTTGATTCCCAAACTTCAAGACTTACAGACTACAAAACAATGAATGCATGATTTTTAAACAAAACCCATTATGGGGGGGGGGGGGGGGAATATAGTCAGCATTGACGAATCTTGATGGCAAACCATAAGTTACCACAAATTCTTTATGTGGAAATTTCAAAATTCTATTGGAATACTCTTTCTCTCTATCCCCATTCATTACTTTCTACTTATTTTTCTCTTTCCAATTTTTCTTGGGTCCGGAGGAGCACCTGGACACTCTCAGGTTTCAGCAAATCAGAACCTTCAAGATAGTTACCTGTTCTTGAGCTATAAAACTCTAATCTATGCCTTAAAATTTGCAGTGCCCCAGTTTGCTATTTCGTTGAAAATCAATTCTCCTGTACACACACACTCTTTTCTGTTAGAACAAAGTGTTGTCTAATTGGGAACCACTTTTATCTTTATGGATGGAGTCCAGGGGCCCACCTTTGATCCCCTGTCAGGTTGCAAGCCCCTTCCAGGTCTTTGTTTGTTTGTTTTATTTATTCATCCATGGTTAAAAATACCTGCTATCAGCCACAAGGCTGGTAATCAAGTTGTGAGTGATAGAATTGAAATTTTCTCCTTAAATTATAATGTACACATACAGCCTGTAAAATTTCATTTTGTTTATAGAAATAAGGGAGTACTCCCTTAAACTAAAGACAATTTCATAGACTGGTTCAATAGTGTTTTGTCCTACTGTTCTACTTTCATCCAAAGTCTGTGAATTAAGCACTTGTCGAGCCAACTCAATGGCAATGTAATCTGTGCATGTGTGAATTACTACTGTAAATTTATGTTCCATGTTCTACTTTTTTGCTCTCTCTCTCTCTCTCTCTCTCTCTCTCTCTCTCTCTCTCTCTCTCTCTCTCTCTTTCTCTCTCTCTCTCTCTACTTTTCCTCTCTCTACTTTTCCTCTCTCCGAGACTCTCCCTCTATCGTTTAAACTTTTACTTTCTATCTATTTATCCCTTTTCCCTTTTTAGGTCACCAAAAGAAGAGGGTTGGCCATATGGCATATGCACGCATTATGCAAAGTGTAACTGTTGTCGATCACGAAAACCCAATAAATTCAGTCAGACACAAGCTTTTACGGGAGTTGTCAATCTTTATTTTACGTCTCCGTATCCATCCGTGTAACTCCGTGAAAACTGTATGACAAAGACAAAATTGCAAGGATAATAAGTAAATATGCAAATGAATCTAACCACAACTGCAATGCTTCAATACGTTACCAAACAAGGAAATGAGCATTTATATCGATTACAGTTTCGATCGATCACAGAATCATCTACGCAAAATAATCTTGGCTATAAACCCTTGCCAATCGTTATAATCATTATGTCATACAATTCATAAGGCTTCTATGGCTCCTTGTAACTTGACAGCCTAACTAAATTGAATCACTCCAATAACAAAAGAATAATGACTTTTCATTGCCCCACATATGCCTTTCTATGTAAGTAGAAAGTGTAGATCCTTCCAGACCCTTCCTTGTAAACTTCATTTATCTTTGTCCTAAATTACCCTAATACAAGTACTTTCATAACTATGATAAATGAAACCTGTCTCATACAGTCATAAGTCATATATATCAGTCATTACTCTTCACCTTATACAATATTTCATAAATGGTTTTACCGTTCTACGTAAATTCCTACACAGTCGCACATTACACGTGTACATGAACGTATCGCTACATACAGCCAGACTTGGCTTTATATCCAAATTAATCTTCATAATCCTTTACATAACAGCACTTAATTGCAAGCAAACATCATATATATAAATATACTGACCTCTGTGCCCTTTTGTGAACTGAATATCCCTCAGAATACGATTTTTGACAAATCAAAACATTCGGTAACAAACAAACTCAGCTTGCTCCATCGAACCAAAAATCAGCTGCCAGTAGAGGGCGACAAATTTCTGAGCAAGTCAACGTCATCTACACAAAGCTTGCAGTATACGTTTCACTCCCATCCAAATTGCCGACCTGCTATGCTTACAGTATCAGGGCCAGTAGCAATTTGTTTTCATTCTCTCCCTTTCCTCCCTTCTACTCTTTTATCTTCTTTGGTACTGTTCTTTTTCTCACTTTTCTTCCTCCACTATCTCTCTTAATCCCCTTAATGGCCTTATTTGTTTAGGCCTCAAAAGGGAGGGAGCCACTTCGGTTTGGTCAGCCCCTGAATTTGCCACTGATTTGAGGTCTTCCTCTCCTCGTATCACCGTTGATGATGAAATGACAAATGTGTCTGAATGATAAATCACTCACTGAACATGAAATATCGTTGCCTGGCTGGCAGAAGGGCGTTAGCTCGAATTTCAGGTAAAAAAATGAAGCGTTAAGCAGAAGGGCGTTAAAGCACTAAATCGCCTCAAACTTTTATAAAACTGACTTAGACTAGACTAGACTCTATTTCCGAGAAAAAAATTGTGGCCGTGTTCTAGTACTAGACTAGCTAGACTATAACATTTCTATTAGTCTTTTGAGTTTTAAACCAATTTTGGGGACGGAAAACAGTTTAAATATAGGTCTAAAACAAATCTTTAAATGCAAATAATTCAAAAAGTATTTTTTGAGTTGCTCGCACGTGTCTAATTATGCCCTTCTGCCAACCGGCCAACAATATGTTCAATCGATCAGCATTCATTTCAGGATTTTGTATTTTTCTTAAAAAATAGAAGTCTAAATGCCATGTCAGTTACCTTAGAATTTACCATAGCATGGTCATCATGGCTTTATCACAATTACCTCTGACTCTCCGAGTCTGATATCCGAAATATAGGGATTTATACAACACCTACGTGGATCCCTGTCATTTGATTGGAGGATTGTTGGTCACATGATATTCAATAGATGGTATATTGCACGGTCGTGCATTTTTGGTTATATGCAGACTGCGTACCTCTCTGCCGTGCGCGCGCGTATCCCTGCGTGTATCTGACGCGAAGGCAATCTGAATGTAATCGAGAAGGCTTGAATCCAACTTGAATTTATCTTTAATATATTTAAAGCATAATTTGTTGATTAACGTTCTAGACCTATTAGATCTTCTTCGATGTTGTATAAAACAAATAATGAATGTTTTTCTTTCATTCAATGGTGCGAATATTTTCATTCGTTGAAAGATTAACATTAATTCTATTCAACTCGGCTGACGCCTCGTTGAATAGAATGTTAATCTTTCAACTCATGAAAAATATTCGCACTATTGAACTCATAACCATTCATTATTTGTATAGTCTACATCTAATGTTTAGTAGCCGCGTAGTAGACTATAGCCGGTAGAAACACGAAGTTGAAAACCATCCAGAGACTCTGAATAAATTGCATTACTTATTAAATAATTATTTCATTACAAATCTTTATTCTCAGTTTTCTTATGAAGACTTTAACTGATTTTCTTATAAAATTGACGATATTTATGGCGTATATATTCATTACTGAATGAACGCCATTAAACATTTACCAACAACAACAACAACTATATAGTCGGTAGCCTTGATAGATTCTGACTTGTTACCTTTTGCCTTTGGTTTTGGTTTTGGCTCCGACTTCCGGCTTCCGCGAATTCCGTGGAGTTGAAGACTAGAGTTCTAGCCCAGTAAAATCAGAGTTTCTTGCTCATTTAGAATTTAGGGGTATGTTCCCACGTCTAGCTTCACCGAACCTCTCTCTCTCCTGTCTTTGGTATAGGCCTATGAGAAATTTTGCAACCCAATTAATGCACATCGCGCGCATCGACAGTATTTCAGCTAGAGATCACGTGATTACTAAAAATCATGTGATCGTCTTATATCACGTGTCACGAGTCGGGTCAGGGCCAAACACCCAGGGGCCTGGGGGTGTTTCACTAAGTCCTAAATCGACCACTAGGGGTGCTGTGAGAAATACTAATCAAAAATTCATTTTCAAATAAACTAGTATTTCGTTAGCAATATTATATTTTTTATGATCTATATAATAATCTAAATTAATTAGACAATTGTGTCTTTTTCCTCGCTCGCTACGCTTTCTTGCAGTATTAAAAAAAAGAAGATAATTTCAGGTAGTTATCGTGCATGCATGCATGAGTACTTTCAGTTTTGGGCAACGAGATACCAGAATATATATTTGAAAACGACCCCAAAATCGTCACATTCCGACAGCAAGGAGCTCAAAAATATGTTACATAAAAAAAAACGATTTACCAAGCTTGTTCGCTTCACTCATTTGGATACAGGATTATTCAGAACAACGATTTTTATATTTGTGTATCGAGGTGACCAAATATATATGTTTTTGTTATTTGTATACATGTATATTCGGCGGCGATCAGGTGCCCGCATTCATTAATTTATATCTTATCTATACTTGTGTGTCAAGTTAATTACAAAATTACAATTTACCTTACGAAAAATGTAATTCTATTTTACTAGCTTCACTCCCTGACAAGGTTAGAAACAAAATTGTCCGTACATGTATGCAGAGGCGGCGGAACCGGGGGCGCACAGTGCATGCCCCATCGGCCCTCACTCTTTCAGGTACCCCTAAAGTGCGCCTTTTTACCGGTAGGAAAGGCGCTCTGATTTACTTCAGATAAGTGCATGCCCCTTTTTATTTCTAATAGGTGGCCGTTCCACATTCTGAAAAGTACCCCTTTCCATCTTTGATGAGGACTACTTCCCACTTCTGATAATACAGTGCCGTCTTTTTTCTGATATATATATATATATATATAGTGCATTTTTTTCTTCTGCAAAATTCCCTATTTTCATTTTTAATAAGAGCCACTTCTCCTTTTCATAAATACCCCTTTTGACACCTCTGATAGATGGTTTAAAATCTCATAGGTGTCAGTTTTCCTCTCATATAAGTTTTCCTTCGATCTGGACAAGTGGTTTGAGCCCTGAAACAGAGGCCGGTTCCCCTTTTGCTTTGACAAGTTCCCCTTTTCATTTGTAAAAAGTGCCCCTTCCCCTTTTAATAACTATTACCTTTTTAAATCAGATAAGCGCACCTTATATTTTCACATGTGCCCCTTTCCTTTTTAATAAGTGCCCCTTTTTCTTAATGCAAGTGCCCCCATTAATAAAAGAGCTCCTTTCCCTTCTCATAAATGCCCCTTTTCATCTACGAAAAGGGTTCTTTTTCATTCTCATAAGTGCCCCTTTTTCATCTCTTGTAAATGACCCTATTCAATTCTGAGAGATACTCGTTTTACTTTGACAAGTGTCCCTTTCCCTCCTGATAAGTGCTCTTTTCATCTCTTATATGCATCTTTTATTTTGACACGTCCCCCTTTTCCTTTCTAATAAAGGCTCTTTTCCTTCTTATAAGTGCCTCTTCCCCTTCTCATAAAGTCATAATTACCCATTTTCATCTTTAATAAGTGCCCTGTTTATTTTAACATGTGCCTCTTTTTCTTTTTAATAAGAGCTCCTTTCCCCTTCTGATAAAAGCCCCTTTCACCTCCGATAATTGCCCCTATTAAAATCTGATCGATGCCCCTTTTTTCAACAAATGCACCCTTTATCATTAGTGTCCTTTTTTATTCTTATAAGTGCCTCTTTTCATGTATGGTCAGTGCCCCTTTTCAAATGCGATAAGTGCCTCGTTTCACCTCTGATAATTACCCTTTTTAACAATGATATATGCGCCCCCTTTTCCTTTCTAATAAGGAACCTATCCCTTTTTCATAAACGCCCCTCTTCACTTCTTATAAATGCCCCTATCAAAACCTGATGGGTGCCTCTTTTCAGTCGACAAATGCCCATTTCCCATTCTCATAAAATCCCTTTTCATCCCTGGTGCGTGCCTCTTTTTTTTTTAGGTGTAAGAAGTGCCCCATTTTCACCTCTGAAAATTAGCCCTTGCACTTTGACACGTGCTCCTTTTCTTTTCTAATAAGTGTCTTAACCCTTTCGATAAGTGTCCCCCTTTCCTCTCATCATTAACGCGCCCCTAATTTCACGCGACTATGAGCAATTGCCCACAAAGATCGCTCGCTACGCTTGCTCGTAGTTATAGATGTTATAATTATGTGCCCTTTTTTGTTGGTGCCCCCCCCCCCCACTTTGGAAGTCGCTCCGCCGTCTCTGATCTGAAACAAGAGCCTGACATAAAGTTTCGGCCGCATATATACTTGTGACAGCAAAAAGCAAGAATTCAGCTTTAAAATGACCGAGTCGTTATATAGTTACAATGGTTTTAAAAGCCTTCAAATTTTCGCCATTTATATTGTATGTTAATTAGTGTTGATGAACCCCGTATCCGGCTTGATCCCAAACTTCAATCTGAAACAATAATAACCAGACATAAAGTTGTGACAATGACATATACATAAGACGAGCAAAGAGCAAGATTTCAGCTTTAAAATCGTGTAATTAAGTCATTGTATAATTAAGTTAAAATGTCAAACGACAGTTTTCAAAGCCTTCATAGTTCCCATGGCAAAGCTGAAAACGCATGTTTTCAAGCGTGGATAGGCACGGGGGGGGGGGGGGGGGGGGGAAGGGAGACGGACCCGGCCCCCTGGCAAAAAAACAGGTTTTAAAACAGATGGTAACGTTAATTTGAGTTTTAAAAACCAAAAAATGAAAATGCCCCCCCCCCCCTGCATGGAGAAAAAAAAGGAGTGTTCACTCCCTCCGTTGAACCAAAAAGAAATTAGTGCTTACCCCCCCCCCCCCCCCTCCCCGGACCGTATTGGACCCCGAAAGTGTACCAATTTCTCAACAAGATTTTGTTGAGCTATTTAAAACTGGATTTATTCACTGATAGAGATACTCGTAAAAGAAATAAACTCAAAACCTTCAGACAATTTAAAAATACAATCAAGCAAGAAAAGTATTTATCTCATATACCAAATATAAATTTAAGAAAAAATATCACCAAACTACGTCTGAGCGCTACACAACTTACCCATAGAAACGGGAAGACATAAGAGACCAGAAAAAACGCCCCCTAATCTAGGATTCTGTGAAGATTGCAATATGAATCTAGTTGGAGATATATTCCACTTAATTATGAAATATGTTAAATTTAAAGATTTACGAGTAGATTTTCTTGCAAAGATTATCAATTTTTGAAGAAATTTTTAGTAACTTGATGGATTGCCAAGAAAAATTCATATACATAATGAGATTAGACAATAAAGATATGATTTTCTCTTCGTTCACCAAAAACCTAATTGCAGTGAGGGGTAACTAACTGAACTAGTAAAAATTTGATAAAAGATAAGTATACAACCGTATTGTTTTCTCTATACTTCTTTTTTTCTCTCGACACAATAGGCCTGTTTACTAATGTATTCACGGACCTTTAAATTTGCACACGGTTGTAAGCTCTGGCAAACAAACCGAGCGCAGTGTCTGCTACGGCCCTGCTACACACACTTTGTATACGGCGATGTGGGGAATGCGAGGAAAAAAAGGCTGATCATCGTCCTAATAAACTTCGTTTAAAACTGTTTGTTTTCCAACCTTAGGGTATATAATTAAAATAAATATAGTTTTTCTCAGTTGTACATGACAAATCTTCGATTTTATTTTCCGAAATCCGACGAAATATCGCAAAAATGGGAGGTAAGCATTGCTGTTACGGCACGTGTAACAGCGATTCACGGTACGCAGACAGACCCCATATGAATGGTGTGTTTTTCATCCCGTTCCCCAAACCAAAGACGAACCTGGAGAAGTGTAAAATATGGATTAAGAATTGTGGAAGAAAGGACTTTGGAATCGACATATTATATGCTTTGAGTTTCTTTCTGTCGTAGTCAGTTCTATTTACTATCAGGTAGTTGAAAATGTCGTATAATCCGAAATCTGGTATACTTTCAAAGTTCTCGGTGTAGCCGGTGATTTTCATTGGGTCGTCGAACGAGCACCCCGCACGCTCCAACTTCTCCCGCAGCGACCGTGCGGAGTCGAAGCTCGCAAGGTCCGGGTCTTGGGGCAAAGCGATATCGGCCACAGCAGTCGCAAGTTGAACTAGTTTCTGTTTGTTGTACCCTGATGTCGTAACTCCTCTCTTTCTTAAATAATCGGTGAGCTCCTTCACTGTCCACTGCGAAAACGGCTTGCTGGAACTACAACTCGATGTCGAAGGCGATGCCATTGTAGAAGTTAGGGTGAAAAAACGTCGCGGTCGCTAGCAATGGCTTTGTATGTGTATAGCGTAGCGGGGCATGGAAAAACAATGTGGCGACCGTGCCGCACCACGCAAAGCTTGCCCGACGTAGTAACAATCGCTAGGGTGCGAGGGATTATGACGTCACTCGCATATCATTAGTAAACAGGCCTATTTATTAAATGACAATGACCAACCTATATAGACAAGGCAAAAATGTACAATCTTATGTTTTTGGTTTAATTTTGCAGTACGTCGCATATAATATTATGTATAAGTACAATTAGGCGAAACGATTTTTCTATTGCATTCCATGCATGTACCTCATTTTGTAGAGAAATGAGTTATCATCTATTTAGAAAATTGGTTTTATATATCTAAATCTTCGGATGAATTATGGTACATTTTATTATTTACTTTATGCATTATGTGTGATGCTATTACAAGAAGAAAAAGGAGTTTTTCTGCCTTATAATTTTCCTTCTGTTTTGCGAGCTATCATTTACAGTATTTACCATCTACCCTTGACTCATATTTGGCTAATTTCTTTAGCTGGCAAGCGTGAGCTGTATTAAAAACCTTATCCCGATGTGCAACGCACTTGGTCTTAAAGCCCCACTGTCCTACTAATTGTAGCTACTTGCTCCCTCTATATAGAAAACCTCCCCAATCGGTGCCTGTTGGTCCCCCATGATCCTCCGTTTTCCTATGTTAGTTGAGAGCTGAGTTAATGAGATAGCCACCTGTCAGTGACCTCGCTGTGTGGTCTAATCCCTTCTGGTCCAGTAGTTTTGACGGTCTTTAAGCTACTATACCACACAAGTTATTTTGTCACTAACTTACGTGCAAAGTTATCTTTTTCCTTTACGATTGGACGTTTTGGAGATACTATAATTTTGACATACTGTACTAGACTGCTGCACGGACGGTACGGTAAGGACGTACATTACTGGCTTTCATCGAAAGGGTGCGGTGCGGTGCGGCGCGGTGTGGTGTGCTCAACGCACCCATTCGATAAAAGAGGGGGGCCTTTTCTCGAAAGGGTGCGTTGAGAGCGGAGTACCGTTTTAACACACCCTTTCGATGAAAGCGGGGGGGCTTTTCTCGAAAGGGTGCGTCGACTAGTCTTTCGCATCAGTCGTTTAAAATGAGGATCTCGGACAGAAGGTAATAGTTGCCAATTTAAGTATATCGAAAATGTATTAAATAAAATGGAATGGTCTTGATTACAGAGTGGTCTTTTTCGTTATTACTATGTTGATGGGGGAGACAGAGAGAAGGAAAAAAGGGAAAGGGAAGATAAAAGGAAAGAAAGAAGAATAAGAAGAGAAGAGGGAAAGGTGGGGGGGGCGAAGGACTCTTGCCCCCGCCAAAAAATAAATTAGAGAGAGAGAGAAGGGAAAGGGAAAGAGAAGATAAAAGGAAAGAAAGAAGAGGAGGAAGAAGAAAAGAGGTAAACGGGGGCAAAGGGCTTTTGCCTCTCCCCCCCCCCCCCCGCCAACAAATAAATAGGAGAGAGAGAGAAGGGAAAGGGAAAGGGAAAGAGAAGATAAAAGGAAAGAAAGAAGAGGAAGAAGAAGAAAAGAGGGAAACGTGGGCAAAGGGCTTTTGCCTTCTCCCCCCCCCCCGCCAACAAATAAATAGGAGAGAGAGAGAGAGAGAGAGAAGGGAAAGGGAAAGGGAAAGGGAAAGAAAATATAAAAGGAAAGAAAGAAGAAGAAGAAGGAAAGAGGGAAATGGGGGAAGGGCAAAAGGCTCTTGCCTCCTCCCTCCCCCCCCCCCCCGCCAAAAAAATAAATAAGAGAGAGAGAGAGAATCTGTTCTGATCCTGGTCCTGATCCTCAAGAGGGATATAAAGATGACCAATAAGAACGTTATCGTTCGAGAGAGAGTGTTTGTTGCTTCTAGAACATTTTAGAATTAAGTCCCATCACATTGCAGTTGTGGGGAGGGACTATGATTATATTACCCCCTTGGATGGCTTCCCATAAGAGTCCGGCTTTGAAGGTTTCGACTGCGTCGCAGGCAAAGATGGTGGGGGGGGGGGGAAGTAAATTCCAGGCCCGTATGGTTCTTGGAAAGAAGGTGAGTCGATATATATCCGTCTTGCATCTTATGTTGGAGAAGGAGAGGGAAAGAGAAGATAAAAGGAAAGAAAGAAGAGGAAGAGGAAGAAGAATTTGTGTTCTGCCAGTGTCACAAATAGATATATAAATATGCTCATCTGACGATAATTTGATGTATAAAACCCCTCACCTTCTTGGGGCTCCGCCCCTTGGATCCAACACCAATTTGTGTCCTTCCAGTGTCACAAATAGATATAAAAATATACTCATCTGACCGTTATTTATTGCCCAAAACCCCCTGGACCCACGCCAATTATAAGGTATAAAATAATAATTATTTAATGGAAAAACTCCTGAGCTTCTGGGGGCTCCGCCCCCTGGACCCAACACCAAATTGTGTCCTGCCACTGTCACAAATAAGGTATAAAATTATGCTCATCCGACGTTAATTTTGATGTTTAATACCCCTGAGCTTCTGAGGGCTCCGCCCTGTGAAAAAAACGTTAAAAAAAACACGTTAATTTTTACCGTTTTGGGGAGATACCCCCCCCCCCTGGCGTTCAAGGGGGGGGGGGGTAAGATTTTTTTTAATTTTTGAGGGCCCCAAAAAAGATTAGTGCTCTCTAGTAATTTCGCGACTACTCCGGAACCGCGGCAGATATAAAGTTTTTCTTTCATGACTTTTTTCTTTCGAGTCTTACGCATCTTTTGAAACATTTTTTTTGTTGAAAATCGGACGTATAATTGCGGAGTCACGTGACCTTTTGTTTTTGCATGTCAGCCCTAAAATCGCTCATTTTTGTGATTTATGTACCAAACATATGGAAATACCATTTATTCTTTTAAAAAAAGAGAAAACATTGGTTATTTGGTCTTGTTTCAAGTAAATGTGTTTGATTTTGGGTAAAAATAGTTGAATTGTGGTTAGAAATGAAATGAAATAACAAAATAATATAATACATAAATACAAATTATCAAAACAAGAGATAACATAGGGATAAACTGGCTCTTCCAACTTTGTTGTCGTATTATTATTCTAACGAATATATGAAGTGAAAAAGAACGCTCGAATATGAATTATATATGATTTATGGGTAAAAATGTGAATTCTCTGACCTTGTTTGCATAAATTACCATAAATATGCATTTTCGCGGCGATCGGCTGTGAAACGGCCGAGATCTTAGGGGGACCCCCCCCCCCCCCACCCTCAAGTCCACTCCAATCACATTGAAAAAAAAGTATGACTTAAATCATCTCTCTCATCATTATACCGCTAGAGTATTCATGTTTTTAATATTATTTATTGTCCATTAAACAAGTTCATAGAGAAAATACTTATCTCTCTGCAACATTAAAAAAGAATCTTCATTAATATGTCTTAATTTGTATTGATAGCCTTGTGGTCGCCAACAGTGGCGAAGGCAGGGGCGTCTCCAAAGGGGGTGTGGGGGTGCGACACCCCCCCCCCCACCTGTCAGGATATTGTCGGTAAAATTGCGCTGCCGTCGGGAAAAAAGAGAAAAGGGGGAGGGGAAAAAAGAGAGTAAAAGGGAAAGAAAAGAAAAAAAGAAAAGAAAGGAAAGAAAAGAGAAGAAAGAAAAGAAAGAAAGAGAAAAACGAAAAAGAGGGAGAATAGGAAAGAAAGGAGGCAAGAGCTCTTTGCCCCCGTTACCCTCTTTTCTTCTTCTTCCTCTTCTTTCTTTCCTTTTATCTTCTCTTTCCCTTTCCCTTTCCCTTCTCTCTCTTACTTATCTTTTGGCGGGGGGGGGGGGGGGGAGGAGGAGGAGGCAAGAGCCCCTCTTTTCTTCTTATTCTTCTTCTTCCTTTCCTTTTTTATTCTCTTTCCCTTTCCCTTTCCCTTCTCTCTTTCTCTCTTATTTATTTTTTGGCGGGGGGGGGGGGGGGCAAGAGCCTTTCACCCCCGTTTCCCTCTTTTCTTCTTCTTCTTCCTCTTCTTTCTTTCCTTTTATCTTTTCTTTCCCTTTCCCTTCTCTCTCTCTCTCTTATTTATTTTGTTGGTAAGAGCCCTTCGCCCCCCTTTCCCTCTTTTCTTATTCTTTTTCCTCTTCTTTCTTTCCTTTTAGATTTTCTTTCCCTCTCCCTTCTCTCTCTCTCTCTCTCTGTTATTTATTTTTTTGGCGGGAGGGGGTGGGGGGGGGGGGGGAGTAAGAACCTTTCGCCCTTCCTCCGTATCCATCTTTCCTTCTTCTTCTTCTTTCTTTCCTTTTATATTTTCTTTCCCTTTCCCTTCTCTCTCTCTCTCTCTCTCCTATTTATTTGTTGGCGGGGGGGGGGGGGAGGAGGCAAGAGCCCTTCGCCCCCGTTTCCCTCTTTTCTTTTTATTCTTCTTCCTCTTCTTTCTTTCCTTTTAAATTTTCTTTCCCTCTCCCTTCTCTCTCTCTCTCTCTGTTATTTATTTTTTTGGCGGGAGGGGGTGGGGGGGGGGGGGGGGAGTAAGAACCTTTCGCCCTTCCTCCGTATCCATCTTTCCTTCTTCTTCTTCTTTCTTTCCTTTTATATTTTCTTTCCCTTTCCCTTCTCTCTCTCTCTCTCTCTCTCTTATTTATTTGTTGGCGGGGGGGGGGGGGAGGAGGCAAGAGCCCTTCGCCCCCGTTTCCCTCTTTTCTTTTTATTCTTCTTCCTCTTCTTTCTTTCCTTTTATATTCTCTTTCCATTTCCCTTTCCCTTCTCTCTCTCTCTCCCTTTCGTCCTTCCCCCGTTTCCCTCTTTCCTTCTTCGTCTTCTTTCTTTCCTTTTATATTTTCTTTCCCTTTCCCTTTCCCTTCTCTCTCTCTCTCTCTCTCTCTACTATTTATTTGTTGGCGGGGGGGGGGGGCAAGAGTCCTTCGCCCCTCCCCCCCCGTTTCCCTCTTCTCTTCTTATTCTTCTTTCTTTCCTTTTATCTTCCCTTTCCCTTTTTTCCTTCTCTCTGTCTCCCCCATCAAAGAGACCACTCTGTAATCAAGACCATTCCATTTTATTTAATACATTTTCGATATACTTAAATTGGCAACTATTACCTTCTGTCCGAGATCCTCATTTTAAACGACTGATGCGAAAGACTAGTCGACGCACCCTTTCGAGAAAAGCCCCCCCGCTTTCATCGAAAGGGTGTGTTAAAACGATACTCCGCTCTCAACGCACCCTTTCGAGAAAAGGCCCCCCTCTTTTATCGAATGGGTGCGTTGAGCACACCACACCGCGCCGTACCGCACCGCACCCTTTCGATGAAAGCCTACATTACTGCACTGCTGCGCTGGAATCTGAAGATTCTGATGTTATAAATGGCAAACTTTTACTCAACTCAACGTGTCGTGCCCAACATACTTCTCACAGGCAAGTCGTCAGTTGTTTGTGTGTTCATGTTGTTGCTTTATTCAGCGTTATCCTTAAATGGCAATCAGTCAAATTTGATTAGTAATCACCAACTAATTTTCTAGATCAATTGTGAAATTTTTTCGCTCTCTCTTTAATAAATATTTTTTTCTATTTGTATTGCCTTTTGTGTCCCTGTAATCCCTGTATTTTTGTCATTTTTAATATTTAATTTAAAAAAAAGAGGTTATTATCATGATATCTTGCCAGGTTAATAATCCTGTTCTTTTCTTATTCGGCACTAGACCGAATTTTCCGTCTCTTTCGTTCGTTAGCCTCTTATTGGGGTAGGGTCGGCCGGCTCTCTCTTTAGAGACGGAAGCCGTTTATACACATGTCCTTGCTAACGCCACGGCCAGTCCTGGTCGTAGCGTTTTGCCCCCAAAATCCCCCAAAATGTCATTTTACCTCGAGCATGTTATATTGTAAATTAGGCCTAGGCTATAATAAATCAGTTCCACTTACCAACTTGACTGAAATAATCAGTTTAATAGTCCCTTTTTAGGAAATTATGGGTCAAAATCGAAATCCATTTTGAAAATCTTTTTCAAGATGGATTCCGATTTTGACCCATAATTTCCTAAAAAGGGACTATTAAACTGATTATTTCAGTCAAGTTGGTAAGTGGAACTGATTTATTATAGCCTAGGCCTAATTTACAATATAACATGCTCGAGGTAAAATGACATTTTGGGGGATTTTGGGGGCAAAACGCTACGACCAGGACTGGCCGTGGCGTTAGCAAGGACATGTGTATAAACGGCTTCCGTCTCTAAAGAGAGAGCCGACCCTACCCCAATAAGAGGCTAACGAACGAAAGAGACGGAAAATTCGGTCTAATTCGGCACCACCCTGCACCGGCCAAACCCGCTCGTACTATAAGTAGGGGCGCTGGTACTGGTCGACGTCGGCGATTGTGCAGAAACCTATCCAAAATTTGACCCGTAACTCCGGCGTGGAGATACCCTACTAAAACATACCCAAAATGAAGTAAATATTCATTAAATGTCCAAATAAAGATCATGAGTTAAAAGTCATTTTGTTTATTACCTGTTTCGTGTCAATTTTCTTGTTATTTTTGGAGTATTTTCGGATAAACGTTGATATTATTAGTATACACTTTTTCACAGGTTTCACGGCAAGCCGCTGCACAATACAAGTACAAACCGATAGTGGGTTGTGGGCAAGCGCGCCTGTGTGAAGTTATCTACCGTAATGAGGATCTGAGACATTACGGTAGATAACTTCACACAGGCGTAATGTAATATTATGTCACACCACAGAGATTTTGACATGACATGCTTTAAACAGGTGACGCACTTCACACATAACTGACGCACACACAAAATTGCACACACATAAAATAGACAAAAAACAAAAAACATCTCAGAATAAATTTCCAGTTTGGACCTTAAATATGACAAAAATGAGGATTGTTCAAACTTTTAAAATAGTTACGTAAGAGTAATACCTAAAGATAAAGTTGAGTTCTGGTCATGCGATTGCATTGTGTAAGAAACGGTCAGAAAAGGTTGATCATATAGCATATGTATTGGGTGTGTATTGCAAGGTTCTGGAATCATCAAAATGATAACAATTTGGCGCAGTCTTGGTAAAGTTACAAGCACTGTACACAGAAATATGTATATGGGACTACATGAACATGTGGCATAAAAATCTGTCCCAATTTTTTTATGCTGTTACATACTTACTTTGGTATAATTATGTGTAGAGACTGGAAGCTTAGCTTATTTGTCCCTCTTTACTGTTGCATCCCGTCTCAAGTATGGTTCAAACTTAATTGGATTGTTTCTCCAATACCTTTCTAGGGATGACTTGAATTGGTTAATGGTGGCAGCATTTACTACTTCCTTAGGCAGGGCATTCCAATTATTTACACTCCTTATTGAGAAACTATACTGCCTAAGTCTTGTGTTGAAACGTTGTTTGACAATCTTGAAATCATGTCCTTTTGTTGTTGAGCCAGTGGCAAGTTCGAAGAATTTTGAAGGATTCACTCTGTCAAAGCCTCTCAGGATTTTCAATATCTGTATCTGGTCTGCTCTTTGTCTTCTAAGCCAAAGTAGGAAGTTGTAGTTCTCTTAGTCTGTCAGGGTATGCTTTTTGTTTCAGCTCAGGAAGAAGTCTGGAGGCCCTTTGCTGGTCTTTTTCTAGTACATGTATGTCTTCATCTCTCTTGAGTATTGGGCACGTACCATACAGAGTTGCAGTATTCTATTCTAGTGTTGGTCGAATAATAGTTTTGTAGAGACTAAGGAACCCCTTCTTTTGCAAGGCTGAAAAGGACCTTTTTATCATTCCTAGCTTAATGTTGGCTCTCTTGGCAGCATCTGCTGCATGGGTGCTAAAAGACAGGCCCTGTTGAAACAGCACTCCCAAATCTCTTTCTTCATCACCAGATGGAACTGAAAATATGTTTGTACCAGCAGCCAGTGTGTAGTCAAATGAAAAATCCTTGGTTCTTTCTTCCATAATGAAGTACTTTACATTGATTGATTGATTGATTTTATTTTATTTATTCATTTCATATAACAATTGTTTGCACAATAAAGAATATTGTTGACAAAGTAAGATCAAAATTATGAAATGAAACAGGAACCTACTGGAAAGCATAGCTTGTTTTTGTAGGTTCCCAAGAATAAATATAATATGAACATTATTATCATAAATCATTTTAAAGTGTCTTAATAATCACAGTAAAAAGATATAATATAATAACATATTTTCATAAACCATTTTAAAGTATCTAAATAATAAAAAAAAATACAAGAAGAAAAGAATGACAAAACTGGACACAAAGGACAGGAAAATTACATAAAAAGATAAGACAAGACATGACAAAACAAGTCATTACACGACAAAATAAACAAGACAGGATGGAACAAGACACACAAAAGGACATGACAGGACAAAACAAGACAAAAACAAAAACAAAGCTGCACACAACAGAAGTTAGAAGAAGAGGGAGAGAGAGAGAGAGAGAGAGTAAAACGGGAGATGTGAGAAGTTTAACCTGTAGTAGACATATATTTTTGTATTAAATTCTTTTTGAACACTCTACTGAAACTATAATATGTGGGTTTATTCCTAACTGGATCTGAAAGAGAGTTCCAAAGTTTTGGACCTGAAAATACATATGATTTATTTGAGAGCAAATATTTTGTTTTTGGTAGATGAAAAAGCTCGGCAGACCGAGTAGGATAATGATGAATATTGACATTCTTTGAAAACATTGAATAAAAAACATTTGGCAGTTCATTTCTATTTAAATTATACATGAATATTCCCAGATTATAATTGTATAAATCTGTTATCTTTAGGATACTATGTGTGTAAAAAAGTGCATCCGTGGGCGCTCGAAAATCAGAAAGACATATAACACGCAGCTCTTTTTTCTGGAGTAATAAAATTCTATTTAAAAGATAGTCAGCACAATTGCCCCAGGCTATAATACCGTAGTTTAAGTGTGGGAGGATCAACGTTGAATACCGGTTTAATAATATACAAGTTGGAAAGTAAAATTTGACTTTGTTTATAATGCCAATATTTCTTGAAATAACTTTACAAATATTATCTATGTGTACCTTCCAGGAAAGCTTTTCATCTATCGTTATTCCCAGATTTTCAATTATTTCTCCATCTACGTTAATTTTTGAAACGGTGCTTTTCTGGGCGTTACCTTGTAAGACATTCTTAATAACTTTCCAAGTATTCTTTACATCTTTTTTATATAAGTTAAACTGCTTACAAAAATACACTTTTTAGATCTTTTTAGTATACCTGTAAGTATGTTTTTGTAATTATTATACTTTAAAAAAAAAAATTTCACATGGTTTTTCAATTGCTTTTATATAAAGATTATTCTTCCTGTTTATAGAGTGCAAAATACCTGGGGTGATCCAAGGGCACCTTGGAATCGTTTTGTAGTTGGACCGTTTCGTTTGTTTTGTAGGAAAACATCTATTCATTTTAGATGAGAAAAGATTCATAAAAACATCAAATGCATCATTGACATTGTTTGTACTGTACATTCCGGACCAGTCCACATTTCCTAACTCTTCTTTGAAAAGATTCACATTATCTTTAGAGAAATCACGTTGGCTATTAGTAGTATCTGTGTTGGAGTTGTTATTAAATTTAAAGTGTGAAAATATGGGAAAATGGTCTGACAAATCAGAAAGAATTATCCCAGAAGAAAGAGTACACCAAGCATTCGTAAATACGTTATCGATAAGAGTAGCCGAATTAGCAGATATTCTAGTTGACTTGGTTATTAATGGAAGAAAACCTGCAGTAAGAAGTACATCCATACACATTTGTACAAATGAATCATCTTCATATTTAAAGAGATTAACATTGAAGTCACCGAGTAAAAAACATGTTTTATTTACCAAGTATGGGTGTGCTAATAACTCATCGTTCGTTCGTTCGTGCAAAGAATATCAGGGAGTACATCATCTAGATAGGAAGATCCTTATTAAGCCAACATATTGTCTCATCATTGAGCTCGCGAAGTCCGGAAGCGCCGTGGGGGGATTTGTAGATCGGACAAACATCGATGACATGGTCCATAGTTTGGATCTCTCCACATGCGCAGTTTGGTGATGATTCAGCTCCAATTTTGTGTAGGAAATGTTGTGTACGGCCAACTCCAGTTCTGATACGGTTTAGGTTGACCCAGGCTTTTCTTGGGAGGTCGCAGCCACTTGGTTTGGCACAGGGCTTTGGGATGAACTCCTTCAGGTTGGTAGTGGACGAATTCCACTGGTCTGACCAGCGTTTTGCTATCCAAGTGGCTAAGGTGGAGGGAGGCTTCTCAGGCAGCAGCTCAGCAGCCTGTGTTGCAAAGTGTCGTCTAGGGAGACGCTGACCTTCAAAGGCAGAGGGGGCAGGAACAAGGCATTTATCTCTGTCATGCTTTTGGGCAAGCTTAGTGTACT